CTGAAATCTTGGGGGGCAAGGACTTAATATTGCGACGAATCCGATCTGTCCCTTTAGGAGGGGAAGGTCAATGTCGTCATAGATCTCGCAGATTGAGCGCTTGCATGCGAACACAAGATCCTCTGAGATGCGCGACCATGGCTTCCATGGCTTCCATCTAGCATGCTTGACCCTGTTTCAGTCTAGAGATCTGGAGCCAAGCCGCGATTCTCACGATAACCGGTACATCAGAGCCACACCGTTGGACTGTTAGCATGCAGACAAGTGCCACAATCTGCAGCATGCAACGATGTCCTTTAGTCTGCTATCGAGCTCAGCATGATGCTCATAAGAATCGGTCCTTTTGTTTGTGCATTCCGTTGCCCTTTTCGTACGACTACACTCTATACGATAAGCAGAATTTCTTGCCAAAAGCGCTTACATTTGATCCCGTCAGACCAGCAGAAGACATTGAGCTGCTTGGATCAATTGAGCGAGCAAAAATCTGGTGCTGTTGAGTCTTTTGCGACCCTTGTGGTCACCCCCTCATAAAGCAGCAAGGGCAGGCACATCTTTACAAGAGTGTAAGTGGCCTGTAGTCGTGTGGCGGAATCGGTCATGAGGAAGTCCGAAGCGACCCTTGCGTTTTCAGTCAGTACATGCAGGAGCGCCTCAACTTCTGCCACTGAGGTGCAAGCGCCCAGCAACACCGTCAAGAGACTCGTGCGCATATGTAGACTCTCGACGCAATGTCGCGTTTGTACTCGCCTGGGAGAGCCATGGCCTACGAATCTCCTCCCGTCCGACTGCAGGATCGCAGTCTATCTGCCGACAACTGTCAGTAAGGCAGGGCAGTCCTAAAACCGACATCTCTTTCGCCAATGATTTCCTCAAGCAGGCAATAGGGAATCTCTTTGACCGCTTATAGGTTCGCTCGGCGATAACGTCCTCAGTCAAACCGAGAGAAGGAATGCTCTATATTTCGATCGACCATTGCTTGATGCAGGTCGCCAAAAGAGGCTGATTTGTGCCACGCGGACCCTGAATCCGCGGGACAAGAAACGTTACTTTTTTCCGCGTCGTGCCGGCGAAAATCGCACGCTTCGCGGACTCCTTAAACAGTATGATGGGTGGGATGATCATGTACTAATTGGAGTAACTGCCCGACAATAGACAAGGCGCTGGCTCGAAGAGGCGAGGATCTCGAAACACAACTGGCACCTTGCGTCGTGTCGTACGATGCGATACTCTTAATGCATCTGACCCAGCACAGTGGATGGTGTACTATGTCGCTTAAGCAAGAAACCGAATCAGCGAGAGCGCATTAGACCGATTTGGTCCGACGTCCGCTAAGCCTGGGTGTCAGAATCAGATGCATGCAGGTGCAGGAGACGAAAAGGGTGTGCCCGAAACGAGATCACGATCCCGCCAAGCCATTGTGGGTAACTGAGATCTCGAGTCAGCACAGAATGCTATTGCAAGGATATGTTCTGATATTGCATTCTCTGCTGGCTCTATTCGTTGTCAAGCGTTAGACTTCGAGCTTCGATGCGATGCATCTCTCGGAATTCGTCCTTCTGGTAAGGATTCGCCTCACTAGTTGGTGACTGATCTAGCATGTGAATTACGCATGGGCCATATCAATGCTCACCGATGACTGCGTTTTGACCGGTTTCGAGTCGACTTTTGCCGCGGGGTGAAAACGGTCGTTTACATCCAGGCACACCACACGCTGCTCAACTCGCATCCGCCCTGATAGTAGTCGCATGTGACCCCATCTTGTCTCAGGAAATGAAAGCTTGATAAATGTCACCACGGTGGTTCTCTAGAATATGAAACCCGGGAGCGCTCAGTCCTGTCGCAGCTGGAGTAAATGTGGGGCATGGCCTGTCAGATATGACACTGTGGGTCATTAAGTCAAATGACAGACCAATGAAGTTCTTCCGTAGACATGCTTCCACGAACAATTTCGAAGCTAGACTAAGTGCCGGTACATTGAATGTTTGGCTGCGGGTTCCTACTTCCTATGGGAAAGTTATTGCCGGAATCCAGATTGTTGGGTTAGTAATGTCAACATGGTTGGCGTGACGGCAGCCTTGCTTGAGACTGCAATGCAAACTCAGCGGCAAACCCAAGAGTACAGTTGAGTCCACATACTCAAGCTTGGGGGTATAGCTTCGTAGATAGATTCAGTAAGGGCAGATCCGTAGGCTCTGCCCTGGTCGGACTTCTCCGCGACCATCTTAACGCCAAGCAGACAGAGAGATCTTCGAGAGACAGTTCCTCATTTTGCTATTATTCCTTGACAATGTGCGTTTCGAAACGAAACAGAGCTTCCGTAACTGTCACTTAGTAGCAGGGATTAACTGTCTGCGCATGATTGGATTTGACACCATGTAACACTGCGTAAACCGGCGCTTGTCAGATGCCAGCTGCTTGGAAATCAGACATGACCGCGGATCGGACGCTCGTCAATCGGACGCGTGCTGCAAGATGGTGTCGAGAAGTCAGCCATAATTAGCCGTTGCACTGTGGATAGGCGTGGAAAGCCATATTAGCGAGATTCAACGATGGCGTAACCGAGCGTCTGCGCCGGTTTGACGTTACAAGCCACCGATGCCACGTTCATGCTTGCGCCTTGTCCATGACACGATCACTACGATATATCACTCGTTGTCGCTGTGATGGCAGTGAAAACAAGCGGACGCACCCGGCCGCAAAGCAAACTCTGTGAGACATTGGTATAAAAAATAGTGTGATGCATGTTGTGCCCCGTACGATTATGTTGCACTCAATATCCCAGCCATCTCCAACAGTGACCGGACCGGAGAGATGACGCCGATAGTCACTCCATCCGGCTTGCGCAGGTGCGTGGACAGTCGTCAGCAGGCGTGAGGAACGTTCCGGGAGGTCTTTGTGGTTTGAGTAAGGCACAGGGTACAGAGCAAGAAAAGTGAGAAGCCGTGAAGGATGACGAAGTCGGATGGCTGACGGTCCCACCGATGCAGCTAAATGGCGACGGAGACTTGTTGATAGCGTGCCAAAGATCTTTCAATCGGTCATGGTCTGATAATACCTACTTGACAGCGCCAGTGCGCATCGGTCATAGCACGGACATTTTACAGACGCGAACGCACCCATATGCCGTGGTGCAGAAGATGAGCTCTCCGGGTTGCACCCAACACGTGTAGGCGTCAACGGTCAAATGCTTAGTGCTTCATAGTTCGGAGCGAGATGGAGCCAGTGCAGATGGTTGAGGGGGTTTAGTGATGACTGACGTAATCGATAGGTACCCCTACAAAATTACCTTGGGAGGCACAGGTAGGACAAAGCGGTAACGAGACATGGCCTGATAAACTCCCTTTGCTACCCAGTGCACACGATAAGACAGGCTCAGACGTTGATGGAAGCTCATGAGTCGAAGCCTGTCGGGCCGATGGGATCTGACGAGCTGAGATGGTTCTTCGGCACTATGTGCCTTTTCTGTGAAGACGCTTCTGGCGTCCGCAGCCCCGCTGCACTAATCGCATTGCCACCGATTCAGATGTGCGGACACCCCTGTGGCGATGGAGATTCCCGAGAGTGGTATCGAGTTAAGTGCCTAACAGGAGGTTACTACGGACGGACGGGTTGTTGCTGCCCAACAATGCCGCTGCACATTGGTCGCAGCAGACGAGAAGGGTCCGGTACCGATAAAAAATGTGTACGATGCGTCTGTCCTTTTGGGTGACAGTTCGCTGGCTGTCGACGCCAAGGCACGGAGTGACAGGACAGGCGTAGGTGCATGCCGGGGTGGATGCATGATGGAAGCTCGGTTGCATCTCGATTGCATGCCACAACGATAATTCACGCCATGGCGGCGGGCTGTTCCCTTCTGGGCATGGGCGCATCTCACCTCGTGTGCGCGGGGTGCCCATTTGCGCGGATGGCGGTCGCGATGCTTGCCCCTGGTCGTAACGGCTGCGGATCGAGCAGAAGAAACGCGTCCAAGGCAGCCCACCCCCAAGCCGCCACCGCCCAACGGACGTGGGCCCGTCATGCAGCATCGCAATTGCGCCTGGAAAACTCAGACTTGCTGCTTTTAGGGGCTATGCGATCTGATCGGGCAAGCGTTGCAAGGGCGGCCATGGCGTGTCGCATATCCTTGCCCTTTGCGTGTACGCTTTAGGAGCCCACTGGAGCGCTCGAGTGTTGCATCAAGAACACCCAGCGACCGCCCTCTCCACCCACATCCTTGCTGGGACAAACAGGCGTGCCGTATCCAGAGAATCCTTGCCCGTCCACCGCACATCCTCGTCACACTGAGCGACTACTCGCTGCCGGAGCGGTTCATCTCCGATCGCATCTGCTTTAGCCCGCTGCGGTTGTCTTAGCTCTCGTTTCCTCTCACACCATGCCTGCAGGCATAGAGGAGGCGCTGAATTCCGCGTAGCTTGCAGTGAGATCACGAGTTTTGCCTGATCGCCGCTCTTCCGCCCATGTCACACCTGCCCATCTCTTCGATACATCACCCAACATCAGCGCCACCTCCGAGCACCAAGAGTGACGCACAGTAAGAGAAGGACGCAGATTGCGGTTATTGAGTGTGCATTCATACAAACGATCCTCTACGGCCATCGTGTTGTGCCTGCGACACTACGTCAGCCACAGCATCGAGAAGAGAAAAGAACAGCAGCAACAACAACACTTTCGACAACACCACCTGGCTGTTGATCCACTCGTTAAAAAAGGACTCCCGGACGTCGCATTTGTTCAGATTTGAGTTGAGGTGGTAACTGCAACATCACTGAGGGGTTTTCTTGGAAGAAAGAATCCGATCGAATTGCTTGGCCACGCTTGCGGAGGAAGGAGCAATTTGAGACCATCGTGTTGATTGACGTTGTGCGGGAAGGAACGACTCCAGCGTTGACGGTGTGCGGGAAGGTACATTGACGTCGCGGTACCCACGATCCCCCACCATCGCGTTGCCGCAGCAATTCGCTGTCGTATCCCACCACCTCCCGCCCGATATACGACCCACCATGGACACTATGGATGCCGGCAGTAGGCAGAGGTATGTTGTTTGGTCCACCACTCCCTTCCCGACCTGCGGGTTCTGACTTCTCACCCTAGCATCGGCTTGCCGTCAATCAACCACATGGATACCGACAGAGTAAAGCGCGAAGAGGTCGAGTATCAGAGAAAACACTCTGTCGCCGCCGCCATGCCTAGTCCGATGCATCCCTACGCGGGACCGCCGCATCTGCATAGCAATCACCAATCGTCAGTCGCCAGCGCAGTACCCGGCTCGCTTGGAGGCCTACTGTCTCCTCCCGAATCACGAAGGACGTCTGGCGACGAGAAAGAGACGCAACGACCGACGGCCCGTCAATCGCTGCCTTCAATACACGAGGCCCTAGGTTCGGAACAGCCGCTGTCATATCCATCTACAGTGCCTCCACCTTCAGCGGTAACTTCAGCGCCCCAGCACTATCATCCACATTCCGCTGCTGCTTCACCCGCTGAACCACGGCCACGACCATTTCCATCCGATCCTCAGCACGCCAGCCAAGGACCTTCTAATCCCTTCACCTATCCGCGAAGCCCATTCGTCGGTGCACCAGCATCACCTACAGTCTCCCGGCAGCCGCCGCAAGTCCAGTCAGATTCTCTGCCCCGCCCGCCCTTTTCAGAACCACGGCCACCCTATTCTACTCCTCAACACAATCCGAAACTGCCCACCCTACACCCACTTAAGACCACGCAATCTCCGCCACCAAGCGTTGCTCGTCCCGACGCTCCTTACTCATCTTATCCCCCACCACCATCAGCCACTTACGAGAGCCCTGCTCCTTCCTCGGCGGGACCCATGAACCATCATTATCCGTATACGCAGCATCCTAACTATCCTTCATCCACGCCTTCAGCAAGTGCTTCCAACTCGGCTTACCCCCCAGCCAGCTCAACTTACTCGGCTCCACCTCGGTATGCTCCGCAACCGTGGCAGGATAATTCAGAGATGGCTCGGCTAGAAGAGAAGAAGATTGGTCGCTCAAGCTTAGCACCCTATGGCGAGTCGGTCAAGCGACATCTAGAGAGCTTTGACCTTGAGGCTTCTCTCAACGAGATGGCCGATGGATCCGGACGCATTGCCGAATTTTCAAAAGTCTACCGACAACGTGCGCATGAGAACCAACGCATTGGCTTGACACCACAGTCGATGCCAAGGTTAGACGAGGTCGATGATATGATCAAGCAGAGCGAGAGAATCCAGATGTCACTTCAACGGATGCGAGAAGTCGTCTTCAACCACCACCAGGCGAGCATCGTAGAGCCTCCCCAAGACCCACGCTACCGTCCGATGAATGGCTATGATGACAACGCAAGCAACTACGGCGATGACACCAAGGGCATGGGCGGCTTTGCTGGTGGTGACAATAAGACCCGGAAGCGAGGTGTAAGTGCCACTGATACAAACCATGACTTATTGATACTAACTTCTTAACAGCGGGCCGCACCGCCAGGACGTTGCCATAGCTGTAACAGAGCCGAGACCCCTGAATGGCGAAGAGGGCCAGACGGTGCTCGAACCTTGTGCAATGCTTGTGGTCTACGTAAGTCCTTCAGCCAACAACCTATATTAGGCTTGCCTACTAACATCTTATCCAGACTACGCCAAGTTGACTCGCAAAATGGGTGGCAAGCAAGCGATGACAAGCTCAAATTTACGACCCAAGTCCGTTGACCATGGCTCACCAACGATGTGATTATTCACAGAACAGTACATATTTGCTTCGACATTCTTCTTGGATTTACCGGTATCATCGTACATCTCGATCATCTTCACTACATAGGAGCGCTGGCGCAGATACTGCTTGCATTTACAGGAAGGGTTCGTCTTCACGGATTGGTCTTACTAGAGATCACTACTTCCTTCCTCCAATATCTTGGCGGTCTCATATACCAATTTCTTTACATGTCGTCCAAATGAAGACGACTTGGTCACTTGCGGAGAGGACGGCGGACCGAAAGGAACCGTGCCTCTGTGTGTCAACACACCGATGTTGCCCGTACTTGTCCCAAAACACCCGCTGCCCCCAGCATTAGGGCTTTACGTATACTACGGTCTATTTCTTGCTTGTCTTCTAGTAGCAGTAGTTGCATTTTGGCATATATACACACATCAGGGCTTCTAGGCCCGGGGACTGGGAGAAGGCGTTTTCTGTATATCACCATCTGCTAGGATGGTTCGATCATGGGTTGTGTGTTTCGGTGCACCGAAGCAAGCGCTTACCATCTGATGGTGAAGCTATTCTTCTAGTCATTCCTGTACGACACACTTTGTTAGAAGTGTACGAGCCTTTGGGGTTTTTGACAGGCGTTCGTAAAGAGATACCACCGGCTTTCAGGCCTAGCGACGTAGGAGCTATTGAATTTAGAAGCTAATACCTTATATCCTGTTTACTCCACTCGTTGCAATCGTATCATGGCTGACGCGCTGTATTCGTGAGAAGGGTTGCTGCGTCACTCGCGTCAGTCGTGGACTGATGCGGGCTCGTCCCAATTTACACGCTCTGTGCGGCACCGCCAATCGAGGCTCCCCGCATATTGTATCATCTGTCAGATAACAAGTCGGCGGGGTTGCACCTCGCGACCTAAGCAACTACGGAAGGCCTAGAGTAGCGAGGACACGATAACCTTGCAACCTGGTGCCCCAATTATGCAAGGCGATGTGCACCCTGACGGTGTGTGATGCTGATTATGCGCCATGCGTAGCAGCAGCCGATCCTGGTGTCGTGCAGTACCGCAATGGCGGTTGCTTGGCCCAAAAGTGCTCACGACCAAGGAAAAAAGATTGCTTGCGTCAGCGAAGAAGAGATGAGTCGCCTGCTCCCTTCAGCCAGCATGTGGCGCGGCAGCAGGTGTCATGCCACTCCTGCGGCCCGCGGCAACGGTATCGAAGGGATCCTCTCTCAACATGCATAATCGGGATTCTCTACGCGACCATGCTTTTGCACCAGTAGGAAGGCTTTGCACAGCGTAGCGACATGCGTGCACGTGGGCGAGGACAACGGTAGGCGAGGTGCGTTTGGTGGACAGCAAAAGAAGACGCCATGCGCAGTCGTGTATTGGGGCTCGCTGTCAGTATGCCCAAACAATGTCACGCAAGGAAAGATGGATTGCGCGCACGGCAGCAGTACCACAGTGAGGTGATGTTGTGTCTAGCTTACCAAAGAGGCAAGCGTCGTCGGCAGGGTCTTCCCCCTCGGAAGAGTGTCACAGGCATATGCTTACTGCATTGCGCATTAATAATCAATACTCCCGACTCTAGCCTTGCAATTCGTCCGCGTACCCACGGGGAGCAAGTAGAAACGATTCTTCCTTCAATCGTCTGCCATTCGACGGTCTTTCGATAACGCAGGAAACCGAGGCATCTGCAGCGCGTTCAAAACTGCAAAAGCCCTGCGTTGCGTCAAACCCCGCTAAACGTCCCATATTCTGCAGTGCTCCCCGAACACCTCCCCGCAATCGCCGTTCAAAACCAGAAGCCACCCATTCACACGTCTGCTCGGCCCGCCCGTGCACCAACCCGCATTGGACTCCCTACCGCAACGCCTTACAGAACGAACTTGGGATGGGTCTGCTGTGAGATCCGTGCTACGTCTCTCGCCGCCCTCGCTAATATCATATCAAGTGCCCTAGGAACGCCTCTTGACTGGCCAGAGGCCAAGAAAGTTGCTGGTCAGGTCAGGTCATGGGGAATTGAAGTATGCTCGGTGAAGACTCCCGAAAGGAATGCATAGTAATGTGATCGACAGCAACTGCTCGCCATCTGGCGCAATGCCAAAGGCAAGGAGAGGGATGCGCTCCTTTGGGGGGACGAGGTGAAGGACCCGGCATGTCCGTCACAACATTGGGCTAACCGGCATCCAGATCGAGTACTTGGTTGTTTGCTATGATCAAGACAATCACAAGGTTCGATTGTCGCTCCGCCAGGCAGATATCCTAGCCGCGCTGGCCAACGACGAGAAACTTCTGCAGCAAGGCGGCGGGGTACCTGACCTACAAACCGGAAACGCCGAGTGAGCCTGACTACCCAGATCCGAAGTTGCGTACTGACCATGCCAGCGCAAAGGATAACCCTGCACCGGTCTTCCATCCCGAATTTGGGAGGTTCATGCTGGAAGCAACTCCTGGAAAGCCATGGGGCATTGGCTTCAAGGACCTGCTTGATGTTGAACCAAACATGAAATGGAGGTAGGCAGGCCTACTCGATCGTCGACCAGTCGGTAGCTCACAATTATTGCAGACGAGCCATAGCCAAGGATCACATGGCACAGAGCGAGTTTCCAATCACATTGACGACATTCCCTCGTCTCGGATCGGCAGATTGTATCGTACCATCATATCCTGTTTCTGGGCCCAAGCTACGATCCCAATTTGTACCGGATGAAATTGCCAACCCGCATATTCGCTTTCCTACCCTAGCGGCAAACATTCGTTGGCGCAGGGGCCGGAAGGTCGAAGTAAATGTCCCAGTTTTCAAGGACGAGAGCACACCGTGGCCGTGGAAGGATCCTACAGTCAATTACAACATGCACAACTGGCCTGAAGATGACGACGTTCGCAATGGTGCTGCCAAGGACAACTACATCCACATGGACGCCATGGCGTTTGGTATGGGAAGCTGCTGCTTGCAGATTACCTTCCAAGCAAAGAACATTGAGGAAGGAAGGAAGATGTACGATCAGCTCAGCCCAATAGCACCCATCTTGTTAGCATTGACGGCGGCGACACCAATCTATAAGGGTTTCCTGGCCGACACCGATGTGCGATGGAACCAAATTAGCAGAGCGGTCGATGACCGCACACCGGAAGAACTAGGAGAGAAGGCAAGTTGTCTGATTCGCTAGCATTGGTGATTTATTAACACGCGATAGCCGCTCAAGAACGACCGATGGAGACTACCCAAGTCGCGCTATGCGTCAAACTCAACCTACATTTCCCAGGATCCTCGCTTGCGGCCTGAGTATCTCGACCCGGATCTCATTATCGACACCGACATCAAGCAGCGCCTGGTTGAGGGCGGCATGGATGATCTTCTTGCAACACATTTTGCTCACCTCTTCATTCGTGATCCTATTGTCGTTTTCGCAGAAGACCTCCAGGATTTGGACCTTACCAAAGCCGACCACTTTGAAAACTTGCAGTCAACCAACTGGCAGCACATGCGCTTCAAGCCACCGCCAGCTGGTTCTGACATGGGTTGGCGTGTTGAGTTCCGTCCGATGGAGATTCAAATTACTGACTTCGAGAACGCTGCCTTCTCGATCTTTATCGTGCTTCTGACCCGTGCCATCCTCTCGTTCAATCTCAACTTCTACATACCCATCACATTGGTGAGCGAAAACATGGAAACAGCACACATCCGCGACGCCGTATCAACACAGAAATTCTGGTTCCGAAAGAATCCCTTCTCGACACACAAGCCCAGTGGAACAGGTACATCGACACCTGTGAGGAACGGCAGTCGTCCAGCGACGCCTACCGGCCCTGTTGGGGAAGAGTATGAGCAAATGTCAGTCAACGAGATTATCAATGGGCAGACAAATTCAACCGATGGCAATGGCTTCCCCGGCCTTATTCCGCTTGTTGAGTCTTATCTCAACAGCATGAACGTCGACGTTGAAACGCGCTGCGATCTCGCCACCTACTTGGATCTGATCCGTAAGCGCGCTAACGGTACATACTGGACTGCGGCCAAGTGGATCAGGCATTTTGTCCAAACACATCCGGCGTACAAAAAAGACAGTGTTGTTGGAGACGATATCACGTACGATCTTGTCAAGGCTGCAGAGCAGATTACTCGTGAAGAGGGCCGGGATGGGTTAGGCAAGGAGATGCTGGGAAAGCGACGTTGAATCTAAACAAAACCTCTGTGATACATATAGAAGGGGATGAAATGTCTTGAGACTTATTTCCCCGAAATGCGATTTTGAAAAGTTCGAAGTATGTAGATAGACGGTGTAACGAGGTATACCAGCAATAGTTCCGTCAACTCCTGTCTTTTTTCTCTTCTCAATATGATGTGATTGTGTGTGAGAAAAAGCTCGATTTCGACATTGTCGAAAAAATGGCCACTGGACTGGACCCGGCCCCCAAGTAACGGTAACAACTACGGCTTATGCCTTCTTTTCACACAGTTTTCGCTTCCATACGTCCGAAAAGTTCCTCTGGATAAGTTCATGGTCACAGCCGTCGCATTCGAATCTATTCAGTAAACGCGATAACTGTCCCACCGAGGTCAATCTTACCATAGTAGCGACTCTTTTCCACAACCACACTCCGATCAGAAGCATTCATGTCCTTCCCATCTTCCAGATCACGACTTCTTCAAAACGGTTGGAGAAATTCACGCAGCTCCCACTGACAATGCTGGTTCTCTTTGATTTAAGACAGCAGTATAGTGTCCTCCTTGAAATCTCGTGCTCCGAAAATTCGACCCTTGAGAAGGCAATCCTGGAAACCGACTTGAATCTGGATAGAATCGATCGAATTATGGGAGTGAATTATCTTCGACAGCGACTCCATTTTGCTCTCCAACATGCTGCGATGTCGAAACGTTACGCTAAGGTGGAGCGGCTTCTCGATGCTGGCGCAATGCCGAACTCTTCCAGCACATTTACGGCCGGTGTAGGAAGATTCAGAACGCCTTTGCAATATGCAGCAACACACGACAACATCTCGATTGTCAAGAAACTAATAGCTGCTGGGGCAAATGTCAATGCACTAGCTGCTTCCATTGATGGCATGACTGCGCTGCAGTCAGCAGCCATCAACAGCAATAGCGAGATGCTCGACTTGCTGATTAAAGCGGGAGCCAATGTCGAAGCTTCTCTTGGTGGTTATAATGGAAGGACAGCACTTGACTGAGACGCGGAAGTAGGCAAGTATGACATTGCCGTCTATCTTCTCACCACGGGTGCAGATGTCAAAGGAAGAGGCAACATCAACTACAGAAGAACCATCTATCGAGCTTGGAAGAACGGCTGTATCGAACTCGCTGATATGGTTAAAGAGTGGAAGATTGCGCAGTATGGTTCACAGGACTGCGGAAAGATCGAGAAGGTGGTGGAGACCATAACCTCCGAAGAGCCGAATTTTGCGAATGGAGACGCTATGAGAGAGTACGAGTCGCAAATGCTTGATTGCGATTCAGAAGAGGAGGAAGACAGTGTTGAGTTTTCGGCTGAGGACCGAGTGCGATTTGGATGCTGGTAGAGATGATTGGAAGTATGTATGCATGTCTCGATATTTTTCAATGATCAGTATGACATTGCCATGAGCTAGGGTCTTATCCGCCACAAGAGCCACACAGCCATTTCAAGTACAATACGTTATAGATATGTATTAACTATTGCAACCAGAGACAGTCGCTGTCAGGTGTTCGATGCGCTGGCGAGTCATCCGATCTCCACACGACCTCCACTCACGATGTCATTCATCCGTAAGCAAAAAAAAAGCTTGAAGGAAAAAATCCAAAAACATACAACAGCGGGGATTCGCTAGTGGTCACCCACCTAACTACTAATCCGCCGGTACACTGCTTGTATATGGCTGAGCGGACGGGAAGCCTAATTTTCAGTGTCCTATGGTCGTATGTGAAAGAAATGGCGGAAAAGGATGTATATATATCGTAGACGACTGGTACGAGTCATCTGGAGCAGGAGAGCAGGATTCACAGGATAGAGAGAACGCGAGAGATTCCCGGTCGGTGTAGAATGAGACACTCTCTAATGTTTCAAAAATAGAGGAAAAGCAGCCGCTCCCACCACACCAAAGATGGCTAGCCATCGCAGCAAGCCCTTGGTCACCATTCTCTTCGCCAGCCTATCGATGGCTTCTCCGTCGTTGATTCTTGGGAACGGGATATCCTGCGGAACGTCTTTGCCAAGTACCTTACAGAGAGGCTCCCAACCGTCCTTAACATTGAAGAAGACTAGCCTATCCTCCGGCACAACTCTTTTCAAGTAAGCAATGTGCTTTTCGTAGGTTTCGGCTGTGACTGGTTCCCCACGACCATACAGGTAGATCCATTGGTCTCTCAGGCCATCAATGAAGTCGACGAAGTAACGCATGCCTGGGACAGGGAAGAGTACAAAGCGTAGGAACCACATCGTAGATGCGTTCTGCACCACTTCCATGCTCTTTATCCACGCGTCTGGATCTCGAATTGTGCAGATTACCATCGCATTAGGGTACGCCTCGAGCAACTCTTCGACCAGCCCGCTAAATGGTGCATCGGTGACTGCGGCATAGCCGTTCAAGCGCTGCTTCAGCAAATCGTGAATGATCGTTTTGTCCGAGGGCGACTTTGGTGGAAAGTGCGAGAGGAGTTTGATCAGGTTTTTGATCTCGATTTCGGGTCCCAGAGTGGCCTGTGTACCACCATGATAGACAGGCCCGTTTAGTAGGATGCGCAACGCTTCGCTGAATGAGGCAGTGCCCGTGCGGGAGAGGCCAGCGCCGATGACTTTGAAATCGGTCCCTGGCTTGGGGGTGGAGGGTTGATTGCCCATTGTTGGTGATGAACTGAGGTCTTCTTCACAGGAACTACGTTAAGATGGTCGCAAAGGTGAGCTGATCTTGTAGATTTGTATGCGTAAGCGTGCACCCATAATAATATACGAGGTTAAAGTGGGGGAATGTCAGACAGTCGTTTGTTTCGCACTAGTTCCTCGGTGCATTCATCGGCGCCGTCTCTAGGGCGCACTAAGCCACGGTAAATACACCTCCTTGTTACTTTGTCTATTAACGACATGCTATTTACTATACTTATGCATCGTAAGCTTTGCTGCCAAGCGAACATGGTACATACAGTAGTTTAGGTAGCGATAGTATTAGTTCAAGATGTGCAGGTCGCTTGACCTATTCTTTTATATTCAAGTAGTAAAGGCTGGGTCCAAGTTCCGAATACGGAATCCCATTTCGATCTCTCATATATTGTGTTTGTGGGTTATTCTGTCCATGTTGTCGTCGTTTCTGAGCGAAGACTGTAGTCTTGGTGTGGAAGCTCTTGCAGTAAATCAGTCAGGCGAACCACTGTGAATCGGATAGAACAACCATTTAATCGGTTTTACAGGCAAGACATGCACAGACAGCGCTCTCGTAAAAACAGCCAATTCAGTATCCCTCCAACTCTTTCCTTAAACGGATTCCGTTCACGTGTGTTCGATTCGACCTATCGCTTGTCTCGCAGAAGCAAGACTGATCGGAATTGAGTATAGGCGAGCACAAAAATGTTCAGAGATTTGACTACGAGGAGTTGGTGCACAGGTAGTGAAGGGTGCAGGTGTCATGGTCCAAGGTCGGTGGGAAGCACGTGCGGCGGCACTAGTGGCCCTTATGTCATCACATATTGTGCTAACTTTTTGATAGTAGGGTTATCATCGTCACAAGCAGCTCGAGGCCCAACACCGCCAACCTACACCAACGCTCAGTTGTCGCTGAATTCCATATACACACCAAATCAATCGCACGCTCGGATAACCGCCAAAATGGTCAAGCTCGAAGAGGTCATGGATGAGGAGTTTGTGCGCGAGCAGGAGGGCCCGCATGACGACGATGAGTGGGACACCGACTCTGGTACGACACCACGAACTGCTATCACGGGGCTTCTGGCGCATAGAAGAGACCGTCTCGAAGACACTTTAATACTAACTGTAGCGCTATAGAGTCAGACACATCCTCGATCCACTCCGTACAGCCAGACGAATCCCTCTACGAGCGCATTCTCGCCTTACAAGACATGATCCCTGCCAGCACACGCCGTTCCGTCTCTTCAAAAGCAAACACAATCTCTTCATGGTTCAAGAGCGGCCTGAACATGGGCGGCAAGACTCTCTGGGTAGTGAGCACAAGTGCGCTGCTTCTGGGTGTGCCATGGGCATTGGCATACAGCGAGGAGCAGATGATTGTCGAGCAGGAGAGAGCTGAGCTGCAGGCACAGAGGGCGCAGAACGAGGTACATAGAAACCTGACTTGCTAGACTTGCGCTGTTCAACCTTATGCTAACTCTTTGACAGTTCATGGCTCCCGGTGCGCCGACACCTGGTCAGCCCACAGGCGCGAAGCCTGCTTTGTAGACGACAAAAACTTCGATTTGGCGTTTCGACTGATGGCTGCTCGACCCTGACCATTGAGCTCTTCACACCTGTTTTACTAGGATGGCGGTGCATGGAACGGGGCTGTACCTGTACATAAACGGCGAGATTCTTACGCCGTAACGATCTGTACTATATTTCTCGACTCCACGATAATGTATTGCATCACATGTTCAACTCGCTAAAAGCAACCTGCTTCATCTTTTTACATATCATTTTTAACGCCCATGGGCTATGCTACTATATGTACAAATGCATCGTCTCGTCTCGTGTCGACTTGCAAACATCTGGCGGCGGAGATGCTTCGCCGAATTCCGGTCTACCAAAGCTCGTATTCCATCAGATGTCAACGTTACGCCTTTTACGTTCATAAATCACTCCAGCCGCGCACACGCAGTACCGTCAATCCGCAGATAGTGGAGACCAGGAAAGCGGGGACGCTGGGATTGCAGACGACGCTCGCCCCAAGAAAGGTGGTAATACAGCAAAGAGAAGAGTCATGGTATTATAGTCGATACATGGATGTGTGGAGAGGCGTTTAGAAGGGGATCGAGCCGGCTGACATTGCGACGCCCTGTTGTTCTTGCTGTTCCATGACTGCCTCGTCGGCGGCTTCTATCGCAACGGCCAGACCAAGCTTAGCGGCATTCTGTGCTACCGTCAGTATTGATAGTCAGACTTGAATTCTACAAAACTTACCGCTTTGTGGTCGATTTCACCTGAGAAGGTTACACGGATTGGCGGCGCAATCATCTTCTCCAACAAGCACGACACCTTACCCTGGTTGTCTATTTGTGCCCTGTATGATGACTGACGGAAATCGTACTTGGCACCGATAGTTACGTTACCCTCCTTCTGCGGTCCAGCCATAGGCCCTCCGGGGCCAATTCCAGCAAATGCGAGGTTGCAGTTGATACCAGTCTCAACCTTGTCTGTAAGTCTGCGCCAGTATGAAGCCTCCAATACACCACGGTCGGGGATGATCTGACCACATGCCATCCAGTCGACAGCCCGGTAGCGTGCCGCGTACGAGACATTCAGCTCTGGGGGGTATGCCATAGCCGGGCGGGTCCAGAAAGCGTCAATGCCGAGCGAAAGCTTTGGTGTAACAGCCTGTAGATAGCTGGCCATGAGCATACCAGTAATGCCACCGTCGAGTAGGGAGGGGTTGACAGCCTTCAGCGAAGCAGAGAAGTCGGCGCCAGTGTAGTCGTTTTCGAGCGAAACCATGTTGCCTTGCGATGTGAGCTGGACAGCGGTCTTGGTGACAAACGCCGACGTCCAGCGCCAGTTGAAGCGACCGGAGAAGGCAAGCTCGTTATCTAGGTTTCCTTGCATGAATACCTAGAAAAGTCAGCAAACGGAAGGCTGCCGACGATCTGAGCAACAAACCCTTGGTGATCCGTAGAGAACCATGTATGAGTATGGCGGCATAACCTGCGATCCCATCGACAACGAGTGTGCAACCTGGAATAGCGGGGCGGCGCTGAAGGCCTTGGTGAGCTCGGCGCGCAGACCTGAGAAGCTGGAGTTGTTCAGGAAGACATCGCGCTGGACTTCTCTCGCAATGTTTTCGACTGTGCCCGGGTTGCTGAGGCCCAATGCTTCTCTCCGCTCTTGGAATGCATCGTATACGTTTAGAAATTGTGCGAATGGACCGGTGTTGGCGGCGCGAGGTCGTGATAGGATATCGGCGACAGCTTGTTCCTGCGCTGGGTTGAACTGCAGCGGGGTGGCCATGGTGAATATATACGCCGAGTCAAACTAGGAGCTCCCAAAAAAATGTGGGAGAGCTTGCACAGGATGGGATGGAAATGGCAGCGAACTGTTGGAGGGCGATGTTGGGTCGCATTCGCTAGCATGACGATATCGAACAGAAATTCTAAAGCCGTCACGTGACATGACCCAATGACGCTAGAGCTTATCAGATCTCTAGCATCCAAGACATGCCGCCCGTTGATACCATGGTTGCTTTTGTGACCCTTGACTACGAAATCCCGCAAAGTGCTGCCTGAATATCCCCAGACCTATCTGCGACACTGTTTCGTGGAAGTTGCTGCACTTGACTGTTACGGGTTGTCGCACCTTGTTTGCTGACATCTCTCGGCAAACGCTATCAACGCCGGAACCTTGGAACTGTGACCTTGAACCGAACGCAACTCTACTTCATTGACATCCGACCATTTCTCTTCCTGTGCGCTTTGCACTTCTTCCCTTTCCGTCAATTGATCATCTCGACCTGACGATTTTGCAATCATGGATACCCTACTGTGAGTACCATGACCCCACTTCCCGCAGCAATGTAAAAGTACCAACGCTGCACACCTCCTGAATAGAACATTCACTCAAGATGACTAGTACTGCAGAGATATACGCAAACTCACCCCGCTTCCGGCGGCGGTCGAGTACTTTCGTCGACGCAATCCACGATCTACCTACCAAAGAGGAAATGGCCCCAGCCCAACTCTATAGTACAGAATCAGGCCGCCTTTTCCATTCCGGCCGAATAGTCATCGCCACCTGCGGACTGCCAGCTCGGGGAAAGACACACACATCTGTTGCCTTAGCCCGCTACCTGCGATGGCTGGGTGTCAAGACGCACGTGTTTCATCTTGGCGATTACCGTCGCGCTACGCTAGGCCCGGAAAACGATGTGCCCGACGATTACTTCTTCCTCAATGCATCGCCACAATCTGTTTTGCTACGCAATAAGATCTTGAAAAAGTGCCGTGAAGACATCTACCACTTCCTGGAAAACGACAAGGGCCAAGTGGCTATCTACGACGCTGTAAATGCCATTAGCCAAGGTCGCAGATCGTTGGCCAAAGAATTTGCCAAGAATGGAATCCAGACAGTCTTCATCGAATCACATTGTACCGATGAGCGTATCATCCAAGAGAACGTCCGTCGTGTCAAGATCTCTTCACCGGATTATCAAGGGTGGAAGGACGAGGATGCTGTCCACGACTATCTGGCACGTATCAATGCACGGATACCACACTTCGAGACCATGGAGGAGCCTGATTTACATTGGATCAAGATGATCAACGCTGGCGAGAGAGTGGTAGTGAACAACTGCGCATTCGGATATCTCTCGCAAAGAATAGTCTTCTATCTACTCAATCTCCACATCAAGTCACGGCAAACATACTTTGCTCGAGCCGGGACTACGCGAGAGGAAGATTCTTACAAAGCAGATGCAAGCCTCTCACCAGAAGGTCATGAATACGCTAAGAAGATGAGTGAGGTGCTCCTGAAGTACCGCGAAGAGGAGAAGCAGAAGCTGATTGAGTCGGGAGCAACCGATGCCTCCTTGAAGCCACTGACAATCTGGACTTCTACACGTCGAAGGACTGTCCAAACGTCAGAGGTTCTGGCTTCTATGGGCTACCGGGTTAGGCAGCGATCGCAAATGAGCCAGATGAATCCTGGTGTATGCGAGAAGATGTCAGAGGCCAAGATCCGCGAAGAGTTCCCTGATGAAGTTACCAAGCACGAAGCAGACCCTTACCACCATCGGTATCCGCGCGCAGAGTCGTATCACGACCTTGCCGTACGCATGGAACCCATCATTCTAGAACTTGAGCGTGAAGAGAATGACCTTCTCATCATCGCTCATGAGTCTGTCCTTCGTGTACTTTACGGGTACCTGATGGCATGTAATGCGGCCGACATACCCAAGCTCGAGTTTCCTCGCGATGAGATCATTGAGGTAATCTCTATCCAGAATTCTTTCTTTCCATACACTAACATCATCTAGATCATACCCTCATCCTACAACAACGTGGCAAAACGCATCAAGATTCCTGATTTACCTGAATCGATGGTTCCCGGAAGCCCCGAAGATATCAAGATCCCCGTTCCCCCAAGTGGCGCTGTAAGTCCACTATCTGGCATGGGTACTCCTCAAGCCGGTTCCGGCACTGCGACACCTCAACATGGCATCCAACCTCTGAATCTGAAGTCGCATATTAATCCCTCTTCCTGAGCAGGTGCGGTATCGATGCCGGTACGGTGCTACATTCGACAATGAGCGAGCAAGCCAACAAACGGACTTTGACCCGATTTGAGGTTTGAGGAACCAGTATCTCAACATTGTGGGATGTCAAAGGCAGCAAATGGGCTTGTGGACAAGAGGTCAGGTTTTTGGCATGGATACATCAATAGGGCACTTGTCTGGGCGTTGGGGTGCGGCGTGTTGAAAACCATCTTTATCCTACACTATAGCTTCTTGGCCTGTCATTCGATATCCATATGAACACGAACCTGCAAACCTGCTTTAACTCACTATGCTTCTTGTCATTATGCAAATGCGAGTAAACCCTGGAATTGCTATTGGATGACTCAGTAATGAATGCTGTCTTCATACCCAGCCCATGACGACCTACAATCTCTTGTTCGTCTCCATGGTCATATATAAGCTTCGAGTTCTACGGATAGCGACGATACAGACTCAGCAGCAACATCGTTCGGTCGTCCACCGTTCCCCCAGCAAGGCCATATTCAAGAAGCCTTCAACGATATTCCAAGGAGCTCAGACTTCTCTGCCAGCCCAGGTAAGCCACATCGCTTAATTATCACCTAGGTAGCGCACCCCGATATAGTGTCAGTTCAGACGGGATCAGGAACGATTTCAGTGATAGCCTACTCATTTCCCCATCCCTTGTCGATAGCCCACTGCCATCCACCCCAACCATCATGATCGCGGGGACGTACTCGGAACGGCTCACCCTCTCGCACACTAGGACAATTCCAGCGATCGCCTAGTCCAATGCCATGAAACTGCATACCGTACCGACTCCCGTCTGTCTGACCGGGTGTAAGAGGGCGCTCGTCGCAGGGCAGCTCAGGTAGATCGAGGTCGAATATATCAGGAAGAATAGCGAGGAGACACTCCATCTCTGCGTCAGTTTCGTGAATGTCAGCGTATGTGGGAGGATAGTGGCCAGCGAAGATGTCGAAGGGAGGTGAAGGAGATGGGGCAGGAGGAGAAAACCTCAAAGCAAGGGGATGGGAGGGCTCTCCGAACTGCAGCATATACTGTGACATAGACGATGCAGCAGGAGGAGACCAACGCTCCGGCGCGCCATTCTGCGTGTGCAGAGCGTTGCGAGCGAAAACACTACGTCTGGGTTGACTGCCGAGTTTCTGCCTGTAAACTTCTGCTGGGGTGGGCCAAACCATAACGTCTTCTGCATGGACCTGCCTTGTTGATGGCATATCTATTATGTAGCTGGGTAGGGAACCTGCAGACTCGGGCTGATACGGTGGACGTCGCAGTGTGAAATTCGCATCATCGGGGTATATATCGGCATCTGAAGGCTCGGGACCTTGATCGGTGCGCTTGATACGAGGAAGTGCTCTTGGACGGTAATGCCTAGATGGTCCACGTATATGGCCATGGTATTGTGCATGGTTGACGGAATTGGAATCGCTAATTCTTCGCAGTTGTCTAAGTCCTGCAGGACCGGTGGGTATTTGCCGAACTGCGGACTCCGTAGCCACTGGGTTGACTGAGCTATGCTCCTCTGCGAAGATCCTGCGAGGGCGTTCTCCAGTAAAGCCAGGAGGTGGAGGCACCAGTCTCGTAGGTTGACGCTCAACACCTGCACGTTCTCCCGAATACATATCACGACCATCGCCCTTGAGGCCCCGAGGCGTGTTAACGACGTTGTCTAAGAATACACTCTTGCCGTCCATATATTGGGCTAAGGCGTTAGCGGTCAACGGCTTGTCCAGCGCCCGCCCTATGAGCTTACCAAAGAGATCTTGAGGCAAAACTTCAGAGCCGCGTGACTTGTGAGAGCGGGCTGGTGAGTCCACGTTGGTGCCTCTCTTCTGGATGCTGGGTAGACCAAGTCCCACACTCAGCTCGTCGACGCCTGGGGCGTTGGAGTCTGAACGGAGTCGCCGCGTAAAGAAGGGACTATTCGCAGCGTATGCCATGGCAAAGTTCGAGGAATCCTCGGAAAAATTGCTACGAAAGTCTACACTAGGTCGATCCTGATTCAATGCGATATGGTGATCTATTAGGTTAGCATGAGATCTTGGTATTGTGATGGTGCTGGTCTCACCTTGTAGCATATCTTGCAAAGAGTTCAGTGGAATCTCCTTCTGGTCCGGTAACTTCCTCGGCATCCGTACAGTGTTGACCTCTTCGTAGCCTTGATAGTTCGGTCGCATGTCTCTAGCAGGGCGAAAAGGCGAGTCTTCTGCACACAAGTCAGTCTTATGTGGTGAGTTCGACGCGGATGAAGACTTGCCGTCGAATGTATCTGACATCTTTGCTTTCTGTCGCGGACTGGTGGGAGGAGTTGGTCCTCCAGGTCCAGTGAACATGCTAGTCTCGGCGGTCGTCGGACTGAAAGTTGGTGCCTCTGGATTGAAAGAGCCAGACCTCCAAGATATTTGTGGCTGCTTCTGCTCCATGTCGCGCTTTTTGACAGAGTTGCTGTCAATGGAGCGTTGCTGTAGGGATGTGAGATAGCTGCGCATGAGCATAATCCTTATACCTATCTACGACAGTGAATGCGGCAGTGACCTGCGATTTCAATCGCCCGTCACCTTCGTTTATGAGCGCGGCCTGTCGTCAAACTGACTTTGAAGTCTCACTGTCAACAGTAATATAGTAGTAGGAATCTTGCAATGAGCGACCGAGTCAAAACATGCGTACGCTGTTGTGCATATCCAGAGAAGTCGGTGTTGGCGATATCATCGCAGCAAGCAGCCAAGACTATTATTCATTGATCTCACAATTCCAGTATCATGCCGTCCAAGTGAAGGTGAATGCAAAGCGACATACTAGCGTGGCTAGCGCTCGCTGCGAAAGCAAAGGTAGCCTCCATACTGGACAACGACAACGGTACATGGTGAAGGCTATAGTCTGGGTGGCGAAGCATGTTTCTAGCTTCCCATGTCAGCTGCAACATTTCCACATCGGCTTCCGCGCTTTTATGATGTCTAAGACCCCCACGAAGTCAGTCAGCAGTGCGGGTATTAAAGGAGCTAAGTAGTGCACGGACAAGCTCCATAACTGCTCGCGTGTAACTTTTGGGACAGCGGGCCAATCAGAGCAGAGGGCGATGACGCCCTGACGCGCCTCATTCAATGGGCTGGAGTGTAACTTACATTTAAAATCTCGCACTATACACCCCTTCGCGCCTGTTGCATTCATACTACAAGCCTTTCTTCACAGGTCGACAGCTCTCTGCTCACATTCCCAGTTCCTCGCTAATCCGTGGTTCACCACAGCAAGCGACCCCATCTTTTTCCGCAACCATAATGCACACTAGTTCCACCTGTATAAATCGACAAATACATCAGCCAGACCACAGCCTTCAATATGCCGATGATGCTCAGTCCCGACACGTTGCTGTTCTCAACTAACAGGAAACGGCCGTTTACTCACTCACCACATGGTCACCAGACTAGGATCGCCACTCAATGTCATCATGAAATCCACCCCTCCAACCCACCACATACCCCCAGGTGTCCCAAGTGCACTATTTCCCTAGCCAGAGGAAAGTCCGACGTCGCACTGAAGGAGCTGGCAGCCGAGGGTGGATTGAGGCCTCTAGAGCACATGCGCAACCGGCGGTGGAACTTAGCAAGAATAGGGTATCTGATAGCGAAACAGCGGCTTGAGAGGACCCGCCTGACCGACCAGTTACGCTGGGAACGTGAGCGGGCGTGGGACGAGGCTCATCAACGGTTCGACACCCACAATGTCCAGGCAGCAGTCCTGTCCCCAAATCCTTCTTCGTGCCCAGCTTGTGACTCTTTGGTGGCGTCCTACCCGACAACAATGCCTGAGGCTCAAATCGCCCAATATGTGGCTTGGTGGGAGAAATCAGGCGCTCTTGCCAACTCGCACGCACTTGTGCATGTGCATAGGCATCGGACGCCATTACGCTCGGGCAACCAGAACCCTATCCACATGCAAGCCGAAAGAGAAAACTCGAAATTGCGCCAGATAATTCAGACCGTGCGCAGGTCCGTACAAGAAAACAAGCAGCTCCAGCTAGCCTGGGAAATCCGGCAAAAGAACGAGGCAGCAATACGTCGCAAGCATGGTTTGGGCGATTGCTACATAGCCGCCGATTTCTGGAAAGAGCCAATATCCGGCTGTTTTAGTCGACGTGCCCATCAAAACCAAAAAGACCAGATCCGTATGGCAGAGCGACGCGCACGCGGTGGCACCGCGCGACCCAGACTACCACGCAGCTCACTGTCCTACTCAGAGACAACGGAAGACTTGAATGTCGAACCAGGCTTTGAGAAAACACTGAAACAGAAAGAAGACAGAGAGGAATGGGAGCGTTTGGTCAAGAAGGCTGCAGGAGAAATTGGGTACCTTTACTTTGTTGGTGGTGGTTTTGGTGTCGATCGCTTGGCGATGTGGCGAGAGGATTTTGACAAAAGTAATCCGTATCTCGTGGAGAGAAAACAACCTCCCCATTCACAAACAGTACGCTGTGAAGACGTTCAGGAATACAGAGAGGCCAATGAGGAGGACTGGGACGATGAAATGGACGTGGATGAGATGGATGTTGATGACGCCTAGGAGGAGGATGATACATTGTGTCCTTCATATACCGCTTAAATTAGTAACTGTATAGTTGTATAAGATACAAAGCGCCTCGATCTTGAAATATCGGTGTTGGGAGAGTCTCCTTAGTACGCGGTAGGATGCCGTGCGAGTGGGAATCGGGTGACCTGACATGGCTCATGGGGCAATCGTGGTCATGGCTTTAGTCGACTCACTCCAGCGAGCCTGGACTACGCCTCAATGCGTGGGTGACACCAAGACAGGAGATGAACGGATGGCGCACAAAGCGTTGAGCATGCCAATGCGGCTGGAAAAGCTTGTCCAGCGCTAGCCTATCCGAGCTTACAACCTGTCGATCAAGCATGGGGGCGAGATCAATGGGTGGCATATGGAATCTAACGTACAAGTATACCGTGCGCTCCGCACCATGACTAACTACTTCTATTTCACTCTGCAGTATGCAGGACCTTATTTACCTACGGTATCATATCATAATGCGACTGTATACAGCATACATGCACTCATGGTGTAGCTCAAGAAGCACAAGCTCTTTCATCTGCTGCCTGCACGCTCTCGTCATGACCGGGCAACTCATGTACATGGTCAATACCTTGAATCTCCGTAGTGCCTACTTCGTGGGCCTTTTCCACAGTCTCCAGTTCTGACCTCTCCTTATTCATTGCCTCGTGCGTACTTGTAGCTGCATCAAGTTCAGTTCTCTCTTTTCCCATGGCTTCAGCCCAAGGTTTGTGATCGCCGTATAATTCTGCTTTGTCGTAGGTATGGCCTCCCATCGAGGCCTTGCGTCGAAAAGGCCCCAAGCGCTTTTTCCAGGCGATGGTGAAAAGTAATGCTGAAAGGGCTGCGATGCCTGCACCTACACCGATTCCAGCATATGCAGCTGAATAGGGGCTTTTAGACTTGTTCGGTGGTGGAATTCGAGGTGGATCCGAGGTTTGAGGCGTGGAAGATGATGAAGTTATTGGCACGATATACGCAGAGCCGCCATCAGGATACGCTTGACTAAGGCTGAAATTCAGGCGCTCGTAGTCCACCGTAATGTATGATTCCTGCAGAAATGTTCGGCCCAGCATGTATTGCTCCGGACTAGAAGCTCTTTTCAGTGGAAAGTAGTACGTGGAGGTGTTTACAAACGGGAACGTGAGCCTAAGATCGAACGCCGAATATGGAAGAGTATAATTTCTTGATGAATCTCCATCTGTGAGAGAGAACCGTACCTCAGGGCTCTCACTTAGCAGTCGTGCATGCGTGGTACCGTTGACAAGATACAGCTTCAACGAGTCGTTGCAGATCAGTCCGAAAGCCGTCCAGCAGTGGTGTGTTCGCCCCCATGAGTTGATAAGCGATAATAGGTGCTCAGCCTTGTCAACCTAGCTGGTAGAAAAACGTGGCGCAAACATGCATTCACTCTTCCATGTACAAGGGTATGTAGACTCACAAAAATTCCTACTACAGCTCTCTCCTCTTCCTCGCCTCGTCCTCCCCTTCAGCCACCTCGCCAGTTCTCTTCAAATCCACAAACTCGCCCTCTTCTTCTAAAGCATCTACATCGCCCTTGGCCTTGGCCTTCTCTAGCTCTTCTGCTTCCCTCTTATCAGCCTCCTTCTGCATCTGCTCATCTACTTCTTGTCTTTCTACAATCTCTGCTTCTTCACCAACCTCCCCAGTCAACGGTCCTTCACTCTCCTCGTACCAATCTGTGGATTCTGTCCATTCGATGATCTTCTCCTTGGCCGTCTCGCTGAGAGTATAGTAACCGGGGTTGTTGCGAGGCTCGAACATTGAAGTGTGCGCCCAAGTCTCCGCCGTGGCCTTGTCGTTTACAGCAGGCATGAAGAAGTTCTTCAGAGGCCCTTTGGGTAGGTTGCAGAAGGTGCGGTCTTTTCCGGCGACTTTGCCAGTCCAGCCGTGTTCCTTGTTCTCGCTGTTGATGGCATGGCCAAGAGTGGTGTACATGTTACAAAAGCCAAGGTCCTGGCTTGTAGTGAGCTTTGCAATCTTCTCGAGTCGCTTTCGCATCTCTTCAGGGCGGGCCAGGACTCCGACGAATTCTAGATGTGATGTAGCCCATGTGACGCCCTGAGTTATCTGGTCTTTCTTCATATATGCCGCCGCGCCACCTGCTGCTATGGCACCCGCTGCACCGGCGAACATGGCTACTTTGCCGTAACGCTGCCACATGGGTGCTGCTGCTGCGTCTCCAGTAGATGAGGGTGCTGGGAGCATCTTGCTCGTATCGACAGCACTGGATGCAGTGTCCTTGCCGCCCCATCCAAAAGCGCCCGCAAGACTGTTGTATGCCGAATATGCCGAGCTTGCTGTGTTCCAATGCTTCTCGGCGCCATGAGCCACTACGCCAGGTGCTATACCGAGGTATGGTGTGTCGAAGGCGAGAATGCCCTGTATGTACGGGAACATGAGCATCGAATGGTCGGCAAGCGATGCTGTAGAGCCAGTTTGCGAGTTGGACTGCGAATGTATCGGTTGTTCGGCGAGGATGGAGAGGAGCGTCTCAGCCGCAACGATGCCGCCCATGGAATGGCCTACGAGTATCGTGCGCACAGAAGGGTCAACTGTAGGCGAAGGGGTCGAGTTGGCGACCTCGAGGTCTATGACCTTGTTCTGCAGCCATTCTTTGAAGCGGCCGACACACTCGTGTAAGTCGCCTCGCGTCTCGAACTGGGGGTACGTGATGGTGAGGACGGTGACTTTGGGCAGCGCATGCTGGAGGAGCGCCTTCACGTGGCTTGGAAATGTCCGGAATGTCTCATCTCCGCCCTGTACACGATGTTAGCATGGCACTCGTCCTCTATGTCAAATAGCGACGTGTTGCATTGCCCATGGCTGGACCTGAGACACGCAGACACGACTCTGGCCATGACGTAATGCGCCTGTCGCGCGCAAGACACAACATACCTTGAAGCCGTGGATGAAACACAGCAATAACGTCTTCCTCATGGTCCTCGACTGTGCTCCTGCATGGTGGGGCCAAGTTAGTCAAAGGCCGACGATAAGTCTACTCGCGGCGGGAAGGCGATTACGTCTGGGGTGCAGCTACCTTCGCTTACCTTGCAGGGGGTGGTGGGGGGTGGACTGGCCGGAAGGTTCCATTACCGTAGACCACAACGCATGACGCTAATTTGATAAGATTGAAGGAAGACCGATGGCCGAGAGGTTGAGTGATCGTGCACACTTGATTCTTCATCTTGTACACATTTTGTTACTGAGCGCTCTGGTAGTTGACCATAGATGCTACACGGACATTCTGTGACACGCTCAACTGGTCGTGACTCTTCTCCGTCGCTCCGACAATGCGGGTATAGTACAAAAATTCCAAGTTTCAACGCTATATCGTGAGCCATCTCGGCAATGCATCAATATCATAAAAAGAGAAAGAAAGACTGCTGCGCGGCTATGAACTCGCAAGCAACGCGACCGCTATCCCACAAAGACTCGCTATCGATATCTCCAAAGTTCTGAGCTGTGATGAAGCACCCACAGCAACGACGTCAAACGGCGAACCACCACCGGAGTCAGCGTTCGATAGTTGCGCGTTGGGTGCCTGTGTCGCCTGCGCAGTGTCTGTGGGCGGGATGACTGAAGCTGTGAATGTTCCCGTAGCGTTCGGATCCAGGACCAAGCCGCCCGTTGATGAACTTGAACTTGTCGTTTGTGCTGAGCTCGTCGGTTCCTCGTCTCCGTCTTCCGCGTCCGTGTTTGAACTTGATGAGGTTGATGTTGCTTGGATGGCTGAATTTGTGAAGCTTGTAGTGGTCAAGACCGCCTGGGTGCTCGTCGCTTGCTCCGATGTTTTCGTATCTGTCTTTCCCGCACTCTCACTGGAAATCGTTGTAATTGTAACCCCCGGACAAAGGCTCTGAATACCCAGTCCGTTCTGGAAGACCCCGATGATGCTCAGCTCGCCTGCATCGACGTTCACACACTTGTCCTTGACGCTCTCTGCGATCGCCGACAGGCCCCGCACACAGGCAGCGGAACAGGTTGCGCCCGATTTGAAGTCGTCGGCTACGCATCCAGAGATGGAACTGGTGTAGACGGCGTTGCAGGATTTTGGCAGGTTGTCAATCCGCGGGATGAAGGATGCAAGTGAGACTGTTGTAGCCGACGATCTTGACGCGAGAACGAGCACCAGCAAGGCTGCACGTAATGAAGATAAACCCATCGCGAATGATGTGTAGGTATTTGGAAGTTGGGTTGGGTGGACCCGTAGGTCTCGAATGAAGACAGGAACGTGGTCCAGGAAAGCCCAAGTGCCAGTCTTCAATGCTTGTTCACGAAGCTTGGATGCCCTCGTGGAAAGATGTCTTCCGGATGTGCTGAGACGACTGGTGTTTGGGTTGGCGGTATGACGTTGGTCCGACAGCGGGATCTGTTTGCGTCGTGTGAAATACCGAGTTATGCTGCCTGCCGACTGCGCTGAAAATTCTTTCACTGTGATGTCCCGCTGACTGCACGTTGCCGTAGACAACCAAATTCCAAAGCTCTTGCTGTCAACCTTCCCAAAGCGTTGGTGGTGCGCGCCCACTTGGCATGCAATTCAATGTCGAGGGAAATGTTTCGACACAATGGTGTAACTACGCTGCGTAGATGGGCCAATAACCTCTTTGTCTATACCAGCAATACCCGGAACAGCTGCTGTAAGGAACGTGAGTGATGCAATGCACAAACGAGTGAACGACTGTTGTTTCTTCCTGGCGCCAGGCCTGCAAAAGAACGACTTGGAGAACTACTCCGAAACAAAAACTGATGGGGTAACAAGGCGCACAGCGTTAAGAAAGGAAACGTTGTGCAAAAGGAAAGAGAGGAGAAAAGAGGAGAGCCGTGATCTTCGTGATATTCAGTCACTCAACAACCAAATTCAGGCAGAGTTGGCACCTGCTGCGGGACCCGCCACATCTTAAGGTAGATCTACAAGGACACCCGTCCTATCCGCTTCCAAAGAATCCCTACCTTGCAGTCCCTGTACAGCTATGTGAGTGTCGCAAGTGGCCGATATTGAGTTTTCTGAAACAACGGGGTTAGTGCCGTCTCTGCGTTGTAGCCGCCCATTCGCTGAGCGAGACAGCGCAGGCGTTACATGTCACGACCGCGCTTCAGATGCAGGTACCCGGAGCAGAACAGGAGACATTGGTGAGAGGTGTGTGTCGCGCGTGTACTTAATTGAGCTGCTTGAGCGGCTGCGTGTGGAGTGGCGGGCGACGCGCGAACCACCGTGGCATGAGGCCGGACGGTTATGGCGGCTGTATGTCTGTGGCGCGAGACTGCCCCGGTGCGTTCGCACGTGGAACACAAGTGCCTAGAACAGAAAAGCTACAGAGATGCGGACTTGGCTTCCTTGGGATGTACGTATGACGGTTTGACGTGTGTGTGATGGAAATAGCTTTCACTGGGCTACCTTGATGGCCGCTGTTCTGGCTTTTAACTGCCATCCTGCTGCTACCTTGCACGCAAACCTCCATGATCCCAGAACACCAAGAGTTTATGTATGCGGGGCACAGTGTAGTACAGTATCGTGCATGAACTGCAATTGTTTCATTGTTTTATTAATTTCTTCAGCTATAGTTCCAACCTTTCTTTGTCCGCGCCGTTGGCGCTTTGGCGTCCAAGCTGGATTCGCGCATCGCTTCTTGCTGATCCTACTCCATGACGATTACGCTTCTAAACCGCACCTTTCCACTTTCCATGTGTTGAACTGCATCTTCCACCTTGTCGAATGGAAATTTCTCAATCATACACTTCACACCCTGTTTCTCAGCGAAGTCGATTGCTTCTTCGCTATCCAGTGCGTGTCCTGACGGCCATCCATGGACTGATTTGCCCTTCATGATCAAGCTCACGGTGTTGACAGGTATGTCTCCCACAGGCGCGAGAACAAGCAATTTGCCCAAAGACCCTAGCCCTTCGACCAATGGCCCTATGATCTGCGGATTCGGTGCCGTAACAACGATAAGACTTGCGCCACCCATCTTTTGAAGTGCCTCGGCTGCGCTCTCTTTCGAAGTGTCAATATAGTCTGTTGCTCCGAGCTGGAAAGCAAAGTCCTTCTTGTTGTCCGAAGAGGACACAGCAACGGTACGGTAGCCCATTTTGCGAGAGTATTGTAGTGCAAGATGACCTAGGCCACCAAGCCCTTGTACGGCAACAGTGTCACCTTGTTGAATGTTCATCTTGCGTATACCATTGAAAACTGTAACGCCAGCACAGAGTAGCGGAGCGTATTCGGCGGGGTTTGCATCGGCGGGAATGCGCACTGCAGCCTCGCTCCGAAGGGTACAGTATTCGGCATCTAGTTTTGCATCATGTCAGTTCGTCGTCTTGAATCACACAGTATTCGCCAACAGAAAGGTAAAGCTTACATCCACCATCCCTACTAACCCCATTAACAAGCTCGTTCTCACACATCTGGAACAGTCCCTTGTTGCATGCCTTACACGCACCGTCGTGTGCACCATGCCATCCTCCGCCCACTCGGTCTCCAACCTTCCACTTCTTTTCACCATCACCAACTGCCACTACCTTTCCAATGACTTCATGTCCTGGGACGCGAGGGAAGACGTTTTCACCCAGATGGCCCTGTTGGAGGAAGCTATCAGAGTGGCAGATGCCACAGGCAAGCACTTTGACCAGAACCTCGCCCGCCTTGGGAGCAGAGACGGGGACTTCTTTAATAGTCCATGGCGCACCGGCTTTCTCAATGACGACAGCACGACAGGAAGACGGGATATCAGATGAAGACATGATGTTGCTCAGTGTGCGTGCGGGTAGATGTGGGTGAGAAGGAGAACGTGCGGTTTCCTTCAATTCTAGTGCGAAGTTGTTTGGAATGCAGAACAGTCAAGTTGGCGCTCGTTCGTGATGTCAATGAGCTGAGGTAGGCGCGACCTAGCCCTCTTTATCAATACCTCCGTCATGCACCATCATCCTTATCACCGATCTGCTTCCCCGCAGCGACCAACAACCGGAATTGAGAACCATTTCGCAACGCTTGGTTCAACGCTCTGTGTATACAACTAGGGGCACAACCCAAATGTGGCTACCCATGTCTCAGCCGTGTACACCCCTCTGCTCACCATCAGGCCGAGTATCCCCACGATTAATAGTCTAAGTGAGTTGTTCTCTTGCGTGCCGATTGAAAGAAAGCGGTGCGCCTAATAGGACTTAGGCTAACGCCGACGGATTCAAGACTATCACACAAGTATACTCATACTATATGTGTGTAGTCAGCAAGTCACGGCGGGTGTTTTCTGTGTATGCTGACGTAGCGCGGGGTTTAGCGGGATTTAGACACCTTTTGCAGTTGCTTAACAGCGAGACACATGCAACCGAATCTGGAACAGTCTGGATCGCAAGTCAGACGGGTTGGGGGTATCATTTCCTAAGCTATCTAGCATCCAGTCTAGAACTTAAACTTGGACTCGTGAACGCCTCACCAAGCATCAAAGTTACCGAAACCACCTGTCTTGGCCTTCTTCTTGACGGGTGCTACGTCCTCCTCGTCGTCCACATAGCCGACTATCTCATCAGCATCCTGTTCTTGTATTTCCTGTTTCGCGGCTTGCAGATATTTGCCCACACCGAGACCTTCTCCAGTACCATTGTCCACTGTACCATCTGCGCGTATACGTTTGCCTGTCCACGTAGTCTTGTCGTCGGCTGTGCCGCCTTGTCGTTTGATCTCTTCAGCCTCCAGTTCTTTGTTTTCCTTGTCCTTGCGCTCCTTCTGCCATTCTTCGAAGGGATCTACAAAGACTACCACATTAAGAATTTCAATGTCATCGACAGGCTTGTCCTTCTCGCCTACTTCCGCAATCTCCATGGATCGCAACGTTGTGTCCAGGCCACCCACTACTCGCGCGAAAATAGTATGTTTGCGGTCGAGATGTGGAACAGCGCGGTACGTGATGAAGAACTGGCTTGTGTTGGTATTCTTGCCCTTGTTCGCCATGCTGAGTACACCTCTGGCGTTATGCCTCTCCGGTCCTTCGAACTCGTCTTCAAAAGGCTTACCCCATATACTCTGTCCGCCTCTTCCAGTGCCTGTCGGGTCACCGCCTTGTATCATGAAGCCCTTGATATTCCTGTGAAAGATGGTGTGGCTGTAGTATCCCTTCTGTGCCAACTTGACAAAGTTCCATACCGCGCGCGGCGCGTATTCGGGGAGGAGTTCGACGTTAAGGTCGCCGAGTGAGGTGGATATCCGCGCATAGCCCTTGTTCTTTATGCGCTTCGGCTTGAGCATGTAGTCTTCGTCGGAGAGGAGGGCACGCTCGCCGGAGGTATGCGGCGTGACGCCCGTCGAGGTAAAGGAGGCAGCAGCTTTGCCCGAAGTGTACACGGCAGCGTTGTATGCGGGTTTCTTAGGCTCTGTGGATGTCGATGCTGCTGTGCCATTCCTGGATGAGTTGGCAAGCGCCTTGGATGTGGTTCCGCCTTGCTCCTTGATCTTCCTGTTTTCACGCGCCTTCGCGACGGCCTCTTTCGCCTTGAGAATCTTGGCCGCGTTTCCCAGAGCTTCTTTGTTGACACCGCCCTCGGCATCTGCCACTACTGTTTCTCCATCCTTGACATGCTTGTATGAGCTAAAGTCTCTTGACTCGATGCTTTGAGGGTCCTGGAGAGTTATGATGTCCTTTCGCGTGAACGGGTCGTCGCTGACCAGATCTTGCCAGTTCTTCGCCTTGATGTTCAATCTCTCGACCGTGTCCCACGCAAAGACATTGCCGCTTTTCCTCAGCGCAACGATATGGGTGTTGTCTGTAAAGACTTTGTATGTGACGGGATCTACGTATTCGCCGTCCTCGTTCCTGGTGAAGTTCAGCGTGATGAGGTCGGCGCGCTTCAATGGCGTTCCGTCGACGGGATTCGTATCGGGGTGTTTAGACAGCCATGTGAGGATGTGGGTGAGATCGAAGATGGTGCCCGACGACGTGCATACGGGATCGGTGAAAGGCTGGAGCGAGACGGCGCAGTAGTTGAAGGGGAGGCGCTTGAAGGTCGACGACAGGCCGGCAGCGGAAGCTCGATTGGCGCTGTTTGCGCCGCGCGCATTACCGAAGGCGTCCGACGACGACCACTCCGAGTGTGTGATGTACAATTTGTCGGTTCCTTTCCCCATGTTGAATATACGTAGCGCTGAAAGATGTCGTTCAATGGGTATTGCGTGAGGCGCAAAATGTCTGTAGAGGTGACGCGCCGGCGATCAACCACCCTAGCGCGGCTCCACATGAGGATCCACTCGTACAGTACTCTTGTCTCAACGACTTTATCCGTAAACCTCACTCAACGCGAATTCTCGGTTCAAGTCCCCAGAAATGGCCGACTACAAGGAGCCAACTAAAACCATTGTCGAGGAGGTAAGCGGTATCTTCTGAGACCCAAATTGGATGTTGCAAGAGTGATAACTAATGCTTGGAGGGCACCGCTGCAGGCAATGCTATTCTGCTCTATTGTTTTCTTGATAGTTGTTAGTCATTCACAGATCCAAGGAGAAGTAGTATTAACCAGACTCGCTTAAATTCATCTATATACAAACTGAGATGCTCCCCTCCGAGATCGTCAAGGAACACCCCCCGTCTTCCATCCATCTAATTACAGTATTTGAAACAACAGCTCAAGTAAATGAGTGTATGGTAGGTCAGTTATGTACAGAACTAAAGGAGCGGCATCAAACCCATCGGAAGGGATCCTAAGCCGAGCTCACTCTATTCATACTCTTTTGTTTCTCTTTCATCCCCGTGAATTGCCCAGCAAACCACAAGTTGTTCTTGTCATCGTAATCTCTTTCAAATATTATATTATTCCAACTCTTGCTTGTCGTGCGTGTATCGAGATTGCTGTTGCCATGGACCATGTAGAGAAAAGCAGCATAGTGAGATGCTTACTCAGGCTTTCCGAGGATACCGCGGGCCATGTGGCGCTTGCGGAGGTTGTACTCAACAGCGCGCTTCTTGGCGGCAGTGCTCTGGGTGAAGGCTGCAGAGCCACCGAAAGGACCAGCGAGGGCAGAGTTCTGCATGCGGACGATGCAGACGTTGCTGGCACCACCGGCGGTACCCTGGCAGGTCATACCAGCGGGCATCTGGACCTTGACGGGGAAGTCCATGACGGAAGCGGCAGAGAGACCTCCAATACCGATACCGGGGACGTTCTGGGTGACAGTGGCGTCCTGGAAGGCGGCAGGGTCAGTTCCACCGGAGGTAGCGTCGATCTGAGCGGTCAGGGGACCGGCACCGTCCTGGTTGACTTGGTGGAAGGTCATGGTGATGGTGCCGTCATCGGCAGTGGTGGGAAGACCAGAGGTCGCTCCAGTGCCTGCGGCAGCGGCAACACCCTTCTCAGTAGTTCCCTTGGGAGTCTTGGTGCCTGCAGCAGCAGCACCGCCAGCGGCACCTCCAGCGCCTCCGGCGCCACCGGTAAGAGCGTCGAGAAGACCACGCTTGTTGTTGACAGCCGCACCAGCACCAGTAGCAGCACCAGCACCAGTGGCAGCACCAGCACCAGTGGCAGCACCAGCACCAGTAGCAGCACCAGCGCCAGTAGCAGCGCCAGCACCAGTGGCAGCGCCGGTAGCAGCGCCACCAGCACCTCCTCCCATGAACATGGCGATAGCAGCACCAGCGTCAACAGCACCGCCACCCTGAGTGCGTCCAAGAGCCGAAGCCTTGCCACCCATCTCGCGGGTACGGATGATGGAAGTATCAGCCTCAGAGCCGCAGAGGGGAGAAGCGCAGTCACGGGGAGTACCATCCTGGACGGAGAGACCAGGCATGTTTACACCGTTGGCACCCTGGATCTCAGAGACGACACCGTGGGCCTGGACGGAGGCGGCAATAGCAGCAACGACGGCGAGAGAGTAACGCATCTTGATGGATATGGAGTTGGATTATAGAAAGGTTGTTGAAGATTGGAAAATAAGGACTGTGATGTCGAAAGGATTGATTGAGAAAGATGTAAATGAGTAGAGAATTAAGCAAGCGACCGGCGCAAGAATGTAATTAGAAGGATGGAAAAGAAGAAAGAAGCGAGTCTGGTTGATTGAATTATTGAGTGATGGTGATATCGACTCTAGGAGGACGAGCAGAGAGGTTTATATACAACTCTCTCATGGTGCATCTGACATTGCCGAAAGCTTAGCATAGACACAAGCATTCACCGGTCTGCGTTTCCGATCCACCAAGGAATGATAGCGCCCGCAGCCCCTTGCTGCCATGGCCAAACAAGATGATGGCTGTGGGACGAGGTCGTGATACTGTGAGCATAGACTCTAAACGGAGAGCTGAGACGATGCTGGTCGAACGATGGTCAGGGTTACTCCACTACGATCCATTCCGCTAGGATATCCACAGCGGGAGGATCATCTCCAGAAGCTTGACTCAGGATTTTGCTAAAGCTTGTTCGGAACAACAATGTCGCGTTGTGGCAGTGCGCATTGACGTTTGGTATCTGAGAAGGCACATCACCCGCAGATGTGTATCAGCAGCCAAGTTTCGTTCTAAACTCGGCGATCGAAACAGTATCGTGGGAAGACCGTTTCGCTGACACTTGTCTCCAAGTGGTTGCTGCCCTATTCAAGTTTACGCAGTTGTTCGCATTTCGCGGTCGCATACCAGAAGAAAATAACAGAAAAAGTCGCTCGCCGTTACCAGCAACTATGCACCGCTTTGTCGTTCGTGAACGGTTAGCTAGCAATCCGGCCGAGGTAGAAAGGCGATGGTTGTTTCAGTAGCGGGTTTTGAAACTCTAAAGTTTAGCATCGTTCGAGGGTTAGCGCGTTGCTTCTTGCCTCAACCTCAGTCCCGGATATTCCCGAAACCTTGAAGCAGCCTCAAGCACGACTCGACACGGTCATGTACTCCACCGCATCACTGTAATAGCAAAGAAAGTTTGTCGTGACAGCTTCGAGAACACGAGGCGGTGAGATGATCCAGCAGGATGCAGGTTCTGGATGCGGAATTTCATGCCATCAACCTCCACGATGTTTCGCTACTGGCTGTCCGGCTCTAACAAGGCTTGTAAGAGCCCCGCGATATGGAGCAGTAGCTGCAGTAGCTGCATTGTGAGGCAAGCACAACAAACCGGAGAAACTGACCGCCTGGAAGCCCACTACCACAGTCAACAACACTCGTCATGTGTGCATGCAAGCCCTGAATCAGTGCATGATTGCACCTTTCTTCTCCCTATTGATCAACTACATGTCGATCTCTAGCATCCACAATCTTATCGTGCAACACGGCTCCACTCTGTCTTCTTCTTCATCTTCGTCTTGGTCAACTTCTAGTTACCCAACTGTCCTTGTGCCCAAGCTCGGAAGTCCCTAACCTCTTTGATCCACACATATCTCACGCATATCTCCTGAAGCTCAAAGAAGAGTGATGTCGCTTCCAAGAAACCCTTGCTGATTGAGCTCTTGATGAACAGCAACAGTATAATGACAGCCCGGCTCTGCGCTTCCTTTCCGTATTCTACGATCGGAGTTCCATTGCCAACGCCGTTGGCGGTCCCGTTGGTCACTGTATCCTGCTGTAAGGTCGGAGGTGGCGCCTCCATCTTCTCTATGAGCCGCAATGCATGCTGTATATAGTGGAGGGTAACGTCCTGACCATCTACGCCGAGGTCCTCGAAGGTGCGACTGACGTGAAGTTTGGTGAGAAAGTCGAGAGACGGGATCTCAAGTGGGAGGTGCGCGAGCTCTTGAATGGCCTGTTCGGGTTCTTCTTTGAGTTTTCGAAGTATAACATCGTCCCAGGACTGTGAACTATCGAGTGATAGCACCTGATTCTTATGCAGTAACTTCTTCTCTTTCGCTGGTAGTACAGGCTTTTGGGCAGGCTGATCAGAAGCTTGTACTTGCGACTCAGGCAGCTTGTCCCAGATTTGTTCCTCAACAAGCATCTGCATGTACGGTAGCAGATCGAATGCTTCGAGCGTATCCTCGTTGTGTAGTCTCGCAAGGGCCATTTGTGGCGTCGCTTGCGAAGGCGATGGTTCCTGCGATAGCAAAGTTGTGATATATCTCGCCCTAGTTTTTCGAATGTCCGCTGTAGTGGGCCCAGCATTCGTGCCTTTACTATTGACCGTATCTACCTGCTCCATGCCTGACTCCTCATTGTTCTTCATAAGAGCCTCCACCCAGTGCGTTAAATAAGGCTTTTGTCTCATGGGAATCTCCTCATGCGCCTTCCAGAGCTTGTACTCGCAATTTAAGATTACTACAAGCACTTCTGCACTTGGCTCTAGCTCCGCCCGTTCGTCGTATGCATCGAGCGTATTTTTTACCCGTATCGACTGGAAGAAGGGCGCGTCATCAATGTTTAATGAGTGGGAAGCTGCGTCGAGATCGCGAATCGCGTCGTCGTTTGGTTTGGTCGGGTCGCTAAGGGCGTTGATTTCGGCGGCTGTAAGTGTGGCTGTCATTAAGCTCATATTGGGCGGTATTTATATCGCGCCTTGGGCTTCGAACGATAGGAATGTGGTGAGTGATACGTTTCGGACTGGAGGGAATACATAAGGGTCGAAATGGGTGAGGTGTCACGGTTGTGAGTGCTGGTGCGGAGCGCGTGAACCTTGGAAAGAACGGCGAGGCACGTGCCAAGCATCGCATCGTGCCTTTCGTTCAGCCACACATCGGACTGGGGAAACGACGAAAGCATCAGTGGTCTCCAGAGCGAATGATATTTCTACTGTTGTAACAAGTGCATTGAGTGAAGACGGAGCAAAAAGTTGATCCATTATGACAAGATACACTTCAAGGTCACTAAACTTCAAGCAAAAGGGTCATAAAGTGTTCGTAGAATGTTGGATTATTCTCATTACAGCACGCTCATAGGAACGCACCAGGATACTCGCAAGAAAACTCAAGAGAGTCCTAGGGGACCAAGACGCCATAACCTAAAACTGTTCATGACATTACAGACGAGCCAAGCCAAACCGCCTTCAATCAACCGGGAGTTCCGGCATACCCGGACAGCCCCATGCTAAGTGGTACCTAGCATCGCAGATATCGATAGATGTCGGTGAGAGTCGAATGTCGGTGAAGTGTTGGCGTTGGCGGAAAAAGATGAAGATGGGTATCGTGATGTGACTTTGTTCGTCAAGCCGCTATTACGGCATCGTAAAAGGTGTTTGCGCGCCCCCGCTAAAACTTGAATATAATGTACAGGGCGTGGATGATACCCTGGCATGATCATTAGTATGCTATTGATGGATGGTGGGTGCGCAGCCCGGAACTCACCGGAATGTAACCGAGGACGGTCAACAGGATGTTGATGAGGAAATCAGCGTTGCATCCGCGCTCGAGGAAGACACCTAGAGGAGGCAGGATGATGGCAAGGAGGATCTTGCAGATGTCGCTATAGATGGTTAGCATCGACGTCTTGCATTGCGCCGGAAGTTGATGGAGCTGACATACCTGGCGGTGAAAGGCATGTTGGATGGTTTGTTTTTGTGTGGGAGGAGGTTCTCTGGTACTGGAGAAGTGTTTGTAGAGTGGTGATGATGTGATGAGTTGTGCCAAACAGCGGCACCCAGGTTAGTATTTATGGTTGTGACGCAGGCAGCTGACGACCATAAGAGTGACGTAGCCGGTGAAATTTGGCAAGGATAAGCCGCGTACCCGCCGCCGGTTTAACTGCCACACCCTGTGTGGCGTCATACGTAGTTTGAATGCGCCGAGTGTTCCGATTCACAAAGCAAGTTGCGCAGGCAAACTTCCAAGCAGCGCTTCCAGGTGGAAATTGCATGTCAAGCCATCTTTGTGACGCATGCCACGTTCTGAGGCTATGGAGAAGCGCATCAAGATACTTGGTCTAGCCTGCATTCACTTGCGGACGTGTTTCCGATGCCTTGTCTGCTAAACGTCCATCTCTTTGGACGGCCAAAGAAGCGCTTGGCTAAAGGCCTGGACTGTTCACCAGCCACAAGAGCTGCGCAAGCTCGACGACCATGTGCCGTCGATCCACTGCCCATCACCTCACATCACATCAACCGCCGCTAACCATGATGCAAAGCCTCAACATGTGGCGTCGACTTCTATTCATAGCTAGAAGTGGCTAAAATCTGGGGAGCAGGTCAACCGACTGGAGCTTTCGTTCCACCTTGGCCGCGCCTGCTTGCACCTCTGGTGGGTTGGCGTCAAGCGACGCATCTCCGCAGTTTTCTTTCGCAAAGCCCCTAGCGATGAGTCGCTCAAAGTCCTGCACGGATAGATCGCCGGTTAGCTTGGCATTGTGCCAGCTGTGCAACTCGAGGAATATGCCGGTGTGCGGCCGGAATCGATCGGAATTGCTTTGCCCATCGAGCAATCGCGATACTGTGCACAAAACACTAGAGATCTGCATCAACGTCACACTGCGGCTGCTAGATACCGCAGTCAATCTTCCCTAGGCAGAGAACGTTGCCTTCATCTGTTGAGACTTGACACAGAAGACGACTGTTACCATCAGGGTCATATATACCAAAAACTATCTCTTTGGTACGTGTGATGAGTCAAGGCCTCTGCCATATCTTTCTTAGAGCGTGAGCTCTATCCTGTATGCATTGTTGCAGTATATACGCACTACATTTGCGACTGCGCGACCTATGCTTTAATTTCACAGAGCTCAGACAGATGCCTTCACTCTCACATGTTTACGATAACATCAAGATCAACCAGGATATCAACGCACATTTACACATGCACAAAGCGAAGGACAGATGTCAAAAGAACATGGGATATCATTCATCGGGTATCAATCCAAAATGCCATCAAACGTGACCGTCCTCACAAAGGGGGACCTTTACACTACCACCACAGCTTAACGCCTCTCGGCCTCAGCCTGCTTTTGCAAGTCTGCTTCGACACCCCTCTGCCTCGCCTTTCCCTCATCGTGCTGCCGTTGCGCCTCTTCCTTTTGCGCTGCATTGCCGGTCAAACTTGCAACAGCACCGCCAACCGTACCACCAAGCCTATCTCCGATGCCCTTGCCGAGGTCATTGACCTGTCCAGCAGCTTCTTGCTCCTTGCCCTCCTTGTTCTGCTGAATACCCTGCTGCTTGAGGCCCTCGGCACCGACAAGACCGCCGAGCGCTTCTTTGGCGGCGCCCATGTTTTGGTTCCATGAGCCTTCGGTGCGGTCCGAGTTGTCCTTTGCGACGCCGCCTGAGGGGGTTACGGAGAAGGGACCGGCTTTGGCGGCTGAGTGAGAGAGATCATGTTCGGCGGCCGCGGCGTCTTTGCGGTTCTCGCCTTGAGCCTGGTGGAAGTCAGTACAGAAGTTCAAAGGGGAGGAAACAAAGAGACTAACCTTGTCGGCGGTGCTACCCGTCAGAGAGCCGATGGCGCTCTGGACAGCGCCTGTGGCCTGGTCCAAGTAGGATTGAGGAGTCGAGGTATGGTCCTTGTTTGAAGACATAGTTGTATAGTTGTGTTTTGGTGTGGATTGAGGATCTCGAGTGTATTTGAGAGAGCTGTAATTGTATTGACCCTTGAGTCGTCGTCGCAGTGGGATTATATATATATCCCTCTGTTTGTTTGGCAAGGTGGTGGAGCATGTGAAGTATGACGTCACGCCCCACGCGTTGGGCTCCCGCAACGCGCAACTTTGCCCTGCGCGGGAGATCTGACGAAAGTGGCGTTTGGAAACGCGACATGTGCAACACTCGTGGTCTGTTTCATAATGCTCGTGGGTCTAGATGACATCGCTCTAGAGATCAAATGATCTTTCGACATGTACTATGATGCAATGTAGAGATTCACCGAGCAGACGCCGGTATTCCATGGATGTCAACCAGTGCAGGGTGGGTAGAGAGCAAACTGCTACTCTATGAAAATCTATTGACCTACACTAATGTGTCAAGATGGGTATGTTGCTCCAGATCCAAACGCCAGAAAAGAAACATTTTTGAGTTTTGAGGGTTTTCTCATCCATCACCAATGACAGATACCTCCCTCGCTATCATCAACACTCCAAGTACCAGCCAGACCAACAATCTCAACTTGCCCATTGAAACCCTCTGCAATCTTGCCTAGCCGCGCAACGCCATCGTCAACACCAAAGGACGCACCAATCTCTGCTGGCCCGTTGTTGAGTAATCGCTTTGCCCACGCATCGATTGCCGGCTCGCCCGTCTCATCCCGCGCTTGCTTCAGGAATGGAATTAAAGCTGTACCTCCCGTACCACGGAGCTTTTTGCTTCCTGTGCGGGCCATAGTGTTGGCGAGGTTGACGCGCTGGTTGTTTGCTTGCTTAGGCGACACAGATCGGGCGTGCGACTGTGTCTCACGCGATTTGATGATGATGTACCGCGAGACGAGTTGGATGTGCTTATCCCGCAGGCTTCGCAGCATGGCCAGGCATGCGTCGTAGGCAGTGGTAAGGGCCCGATCCTTGCGATTTACTGTAACGTATTCCCGGATGTTTGCAATGCTCTCCATGTGCTCCAGGAACCTACGGTGAGGTCCAGGCATATAGTTCCGCATATCCTGGATGAAACCATGCGAAGGTCCAGATGAGGCAGGGTTTTCTATGTTAGTCCGCTTCTCACCAGTAGGTCTATGCTCAACCCCTAGGACGATGTCGAAGAACTGAATGGTCGAGCTCTGAGCATTGCTGCCACCACTGAATTGCACATATGGCTGTTGACCAGTGCCATCATCAAACATGACTCCATTTGGAAGGCCTGCGTCCGCCATGTTTTTACTTCCAGCTAGGAATGGTCGGATGCGGTGGTAGAAGACGTGTGGGTCACAGCTCTCGTACATGCGCTCCAAAAGAGCACCTATCTCGTCAAGTCGCTCCGCAAAGGATCGTAAACAGTGCATGACTGTGTTGCTGTCGCCACGTCTAGCTGCTGCGATAGCTTCGATCATCATCGGAATAACTGGTCCAGCTCTCGCTTCTATCGCTACAGACACCAGGTAAAACCATGATTCGTCCATTGAGCCAGTGAAGGTCATGTGCGTTGCAAGGTTGTCCAGTGTATCCGTAGGCTCGCCATCGAACATAGGCCGCCAATTCCACAGGCACACCCCTGCAAAGGTTGCCACCGGTGGCAGTTCCAGGTGTCTGCACGTTTCCATGAAAGGTATCGAGATAGAGGGCGGGACAATCTGCACAGAATCGTTAGCAACGCGATACACCTATGTATGTAGACTATCAAGACTTACATCGGCGGGCTTGTCACCGCCCCAAACATACCCATGGGCAATGAATCCCAAGATGGAATAGGCTCGCTGCCACTCGGCTTTCGTGAGAAGGAGGTCGGTCTCAAGTACTGGAAGTGCATCTACTATTCGACGTAGCCGCTTGGCCAGGATCAGACTCTGGAAGTTGCGTACAATTGTCTCCCATGGCTGGTAGTAGCGATCTGGTAGAACATCGATGGGTATCTCATCAGGCAAGAAGCCGTTCCGAGCTGATATGTCATAGTCGCCCAACCGAGGTAGAGCGGGAAGCATTGTGATGGTTGACAGCGAAGAAAATTGATGGTGTTTTTGTTAGAAAGGTGACGTTAAAGTGGTGTCCAAGGTGGTTGTTGACCAGTAGCCCTTAGCTTTCGAAATTTGGTGCGCAAGAAATGTCGCGTGATGCAATCGGAGCCGGAGGGTGAATGTACCTTGACCAACGGCCGTGGAGGTTGTTGCCACCCAAAAATTTCCCCAGAATTGATGGAGGGGTTGCCGGACCTTTAAAGGCACAATCGGTGGAGGTTGAAGCAGGTATAACCTAATTATGTGGTGCTTGCGTGTGGGCGAAAGGAATCTAGGCTTGTCGGGTAGGCTGTCTCGGAGGCGGGACCTAAGCACCAGATGAGTTGGGTCCGAGTTTGAAGGAGGGGTTAGGCCCAAAGAATAGTAGAAAACAGCTGACTCGACTGAGCTGCAACTGGAACACGAACAGTAATAAAGTAGTCAGAGAAACAGTGTGAGAGGAGCAGCAGCATTATATTTGCCTTCCGGCCGCGGCTGCGAACCTTGGTGGATTATGTCAAAGAGGCAGGCCGAAACGCGCAATGCTCAGTAATTGCCTAGGAGAAATCTTCGTTCCGAGCTGTCCGCGCAATCGGTTTCGTGGGCGTCACCTTGGGTCACATTAGCAATCAATTTACTCTCAGATTCGATGATTCCACTACAGGCAGAGGTAGCGCGGCTGGCCGACGGGCTGCTAACCCTCTCTCCACACTAGCGTAGGTACCCTGCATACAAACGGCTGGCTGCCGAAGTCGGTGAATCGGCCGTTGGAGGAAACGTGGGTTAAGCTGTTAAATCCGCAAATGATGGCTGAGACCAGCAACGCGAATGCTCGATGATGGTTTTCGCCTCTTGTGATGAGATCACGACGCCAGGACTGAATCTTCGCACAAGGCTACGCACAGCCTATCCAGCCTCGCCAGCACAGTATACCTCCCCGCAAAATCCCGTTCCTGTACTCCGACGCTACTGCAGTGGCAGCAAGCTAAGGTCGCAGATCAGGAACCACATGTTAGCCACTGGGCTGTCTGTACATACAGTAAAGTTCCCATCAGCCTGAACAGTGCGGCTCAGATCGCAACGATAGGAGCAACTGTGTTTGTTATAGTTCCGAGTTGGAGTGCGAAAGTGGTGATGGAATCCGAGACGCGAACGGCACCACATCGGTGAAAGCGGCGAAGTAGGATGGAAAACTCTAGTGTTGCGAGCGAGAACTACAACATCTATGTCCATTTCTCGCGACAACCCGACACTACTGACCCTCCCTCCAAGGCATTCTCTCCACACCCCGCACCCATCTCCGCCTCCTCCATTCGCCCTTGCGACTTGGCGCATGGCTCTCCCATGCCCGGCGCAGAACTTCTTTCTCTTGATCCCCAATATCCTTGCTACCTCCCTTTGATCCGGTCCGCTTCTTTAACTTTGCCTTCGCTGCGTTGGCTTTCTCTCCATCACTCTCTAGGACCTCGTAGTGCAAATCCGTGACCCATCGCTCACCCTCGACCTCAACTTCCACGCCTGTGACACAGCGATCTTCGACCCATTCACGGGACAAGAGATCTAGTGTCCATTTCTTGTCGCTCCAGCGCCAGCCGCGAGGTGGGAGCACGTCTTCGAAAAACGGTGTGCCACGGGGTCTGTCGCCGCTGACCCTAGAAGGCGATAAAGGGGAGTAAGGCGATGGTGAAAACATGAAACCCTCGTACTCGCCATGCTCGTCGTGCAGTGCGCGGTGCTGTAGTTCAAAAATCTCGACTTCGCGGGTCTCTGGCGATGTCTCCAGTTCTATGTCTGCGCGCGAGATGGTGAGGAGAAAAGAACGGCTTTCGTGTTCTGCATCGGAGATGAACTTTTCGCTTTCGGGCGTTGTAAGGAGATCCTGAACGTTAGGGTGGCCCAACGCCGTTAAAGTGTATCCGATAACGAGGAATATCGCACGCCATGGTAGTAGATGCGCTGATATGAACAACAAAACCGATACGACAAGTAAGATGAGATAGAGCATCGATGAGAGATTCTCGTTACTGAAGTTAGTAAGTGGAGTGATGAAGCTCAGTACAGCGTCGTGGCCGCGGCTGAAGTCCTCCATGCAATTCTGCAGATCGCGCATGTTGCGGAAGAAGTCCTTGCTGAACTCGGGCGCAGGCTTGATTGTCTTTGCGTCTGCTAGCGGTGGTCCTCCTAAGCTCCCCCTCCAAAGATCGCCATCGATATCCACTGCGTTTGCCATAGGCTCTGGATGCCGAGTCAGATACGCAGGTACCATTATGAAAAACATGCCACACGCCAGCGGGAGTACGGGTAGAAGATATGGATCAACACAGACGAATGTCCAGACCAACAGGAATGAGAGGGTTTGTGTGGGCTGTACCCAGGTGAACAAACGAATGAGTCGATTCTGAAGAATGAAGGCAACACCGATGCGCGAGTTGAAGCGACGAAAGTTGGAAGACATGGTAGGGATACTGAAATTGGGGCGAGCGACATAGCTTCGAGAGCGCCGATCCTTGACATGTGGTGCATTGCCACTTGGTGTTGATGAGTCTGGAGGCGAGCTGTCGGAGAGGTCTTCTGAGGGGAGGACTTGTGCGAGCAGCCTGTAAGCATTAGCCCCATCAACAACGTATTGTCTGGTCTAGGATTATTCCTCGCGACAACCCCATAATTCGTTTGCTCGATGAAACAATATCTTCGATATACAACAAGATATGAAAACCTTTGCCTTGCAGACTGTACTCACATGTTCATCATCTTATCTCCTACCCTGCTACTCGACTCCCGACTTATGTTGTCGCCCAAAGATTCCAACTTGTCTTTGAGTTTGCTAGCCGACAGACGGCGCGAATGTGAATGCGGTCTCTCCGTAGTGGGAGTGCCATCGTTTGACGCATGATGTACCTGGACCACTGGTATGGGTGTGTCGCGGTTGGCCAATGATTCTGCATTGTCAGAGCCCATAGTGGGACCCACTGTGTGTTTCTATTCTTCTGTTGATAAGGACAAGACTAGATGAATTTGAGTCAAGAACGAGGCCGTAGGTATCGAAGTGTGATTGATAAGGGAGTCACGCTGCTGTTGCGTATTGTTGGAGGCAGGCGTGTCACATGTGGCTGAGTCGCGACTTCTCGATCCGTATAAACGTTCAGCAGCTGCCCAGGCGACACCAAGATAGTGTTCTATCCTAGCTCTTTCGATGGCGATATCTCAACAGCTTACTCTCACGGTTCGATGTGGAAAATGCAGAAACAGGCGTGGTGTTTGATGCAGCAAGCGGATGACGCACATGCATGCGAACTGGGCGTGGCGCTGAGCTTGTGCCGTGGCACGTTGTTCGTTCCGACGTTTTCCCCACATGCGCCCGTGCACCCTTGGGCTGGTGGTGGTGGTGCGCAAGCCTGGTGATCAGGGACAGACAACCTTTAGGCTTCGATGTATTTGGAGGGTGTCGGTAACCCCTGTGGTACTGTACGGCCTCCGCTTCAGATTAGTGGTGAGATGGAGATTAAGACTGTGGAGCAGCTACGGAATTCCCGCTGTCATGTTTCGGGGTCGTATGTACGATACATGGACATGATCTATAGCATGCACAACAGAGGGTTCAATCATGCACATGCTGAAAGCCGTGCCATGTGCAGTTGGACTAGGGGTGGTTTGGGTGGTGCAGTCGTCGTTGGCAGGTGATGGTCGCACTGCTTGAGACAGCTACTCCGCACCGGAGCGTGGCAGCTTGACTGACTTGACAGCGAGACAGTAAGGCCGTTGGACGATGCATCCGTTTCCTGGGAGAGGAGAGTTGTTTTGATAATATCCTATTCGCCGCGACGGGCAGATATGGACAGGGGGCCTGTCAACTAGACAACCTTAGTGCCTAGTTGTGGCTTTTGCGGGCTGCCGACCCTCATTGTAACTTTGACGAACGTCGACTACCGCAGCAGCGACCACCTCGCCCCTTTGCAGCAACACCGCGCCGTGCTTTTTGCGCTGCAACATTGCCCAACCCTGAATAATTCCGATAGCCGTTCGCTCGAATCATTACCGACCGCCGATCGCTTTCACCGCTGTAGCCGGGTCCGTTCGACATGTCGGCATAGGTCTCCCTCGGTGCCCAAGCTCGACGCTTGGAGACCCTCTCGGCGTTCTTTGAAAGAGGAAGACTTTTTTTTCTTTGAAGCATCTCGTGACAGCAGAGCTCCAATTGCTTGTGTCGTGACGACCAGCTGTGGAGCTGACATCTGCGGACCATGTCGACGCAGCCGCGAACGACAACTCGGACCATGGAATCGACCAACGTGCCCGAACGGTCAGGGTCCAACATGTCCGAGGATTCTAGTGGCTCCTCAGGTACGAAAAAGCATATGGGGGCAGTCGCGTAATGCGACGTCGTATCGAACGGAGCTAACCCTGCCTCATCAGAAGACCGCGTACGCAAGTTCCAGAAGACGGGCGACCAGGGCAGCCGCCTGCGCAAGACAAGCGCATCCAATGCTATAAGCGCAGCACGACCGCTGCCGACCATCAACAACAACGCCGCAGGACGAGGCAGGGCCAAGGTGCCGTTGGGCCCCCGCGAGCGGCCCCAGGACTTCAACAAGCAGAGGTACGACGCCGCAGCCTCCCGGGCCTACCTAGGTAACTGCACGACAGATCAGCTGACGCGTGAAGCAGCAGAATGGCAAGCGGCGCCAGCGTTGCCTCTCTTGAGACACGCTCCTTCCTCCCCACGCCCGCCAACGAGACGACGGCCACGCGCCCCGTCCCTTCGAACCCACGCTTCAGCTTCACCAAGCAACCGCAGATCAGCAGCCCGGCAAAGGGAGAGTCCAACGAGAACACTGGCTCATATGACTTCCTGCCCGCCGTCAACTTCGATGACTTTGCCAACAGCCTCTCCTACGAGCCCGCGCTAAGCGATTTTCCTGCCCCCGGCACGTTCAAGACCAACGTGCCTGCCGACAGCACCACCCCTAATAACAGCAATAACAATAGCAATAGCAACAACATGCAGCCGTTTACGGGAGCCCCCACCGATACCCGCCCTGCACGTAGCAGCTCTTTCGTTCGCCGCTTCAGCCAGTCCACTGCGAGGAAGCCGAGTGGTGCTTCCACCGCATCCGGCTCTGACCCGTCTGCGATGCCTCCGCCGCCCACCAACATGGCCATCCGATCACGCCGCCAAAGTCACTTCCCTGCCCAGGCACCCTCGAACCCGGCCGCCCGAGCCCCGAGAAAGAGCGTTGGCCCTGGAATGCTGCCAACGAATAGCTTTGAAATGGACAGACTCGCGAATGACAACACGATGCCTACGCTCGGCCGCGCCCCTTCACTGAACAAGGGAAACAGGCGGGAGCCACTCTCTACGAACCTCAACACTACAACCACCGGGGTACCCAAGCTTCCAACTGCCGCACGCAATGCGAAAGCAAAGTCCCTACAGCCGCCCTCGAAACAGCAACCGGGCCACCTGACTGTCTCTATCAGCCCCGATCCGAGTTCCATGCCCTTGGACCATTCCCGCTCACCTGGCAGATCTCCCGCGGCGCAACGATCATACACACCTTCGTCCTCGTCGAGCAAGCGACAGTCAACCGCACCGCACATATCTGGGCTCGGAGCGCGAACTATTAGCCCCACAGACGCTCGGAGGCTGAGGAGGCTGTCCATGAACCCTAACCACCCGCCAAACGGCCCGGTAGGCCCTCCTACACCTCAAGGCGACCAGACATTCGACGAGCGTGCCTTTAGCCAGTCTCCAGCCTTGGCCGTGGGAGGGAGCATGACGCCCTCTTCGGCACGTGCGACACCCGAGCAGAAGCGCAAGTCTTATGCCTCTGGCATCTCGCTTTCCTCAAACTCGAGCTTGAACTCGCTAAAGGTCGGTCCTTCGTCCATACCGTTGCGTACAAACCCTGCTCCGACAAGCTCGCGTTTGCCTGCGCCAAAGCCACGAAACGTGCAAAGCTCAGCTGGTGGAGAACAAGAAGAAGTTCCTCCAGTACCGGCTATACCAAAAGCATATGAGTCTCCCAAGGACCCTGAGCGCAGCAGTTTTGCATTCAATACACCAAACTCGAAGATGAACGCGCCTCCAGCATCTCAAGAGGCTGTCTCGACACCCGATGCACAACGAGTTGAACCTCGGCCCATTGAGACCCAGGACGGTGGTGTTTTGAACAGGAGTACAGGGTCCATCAGACATCGAAGAGGGTTAACCGTCGGAGCTGGTTCGGAAACTGAGAGGACGCCCACCACGGTACAGCAGTCCAGCAAAAAGAATCTGCAGCCAATCAGACTACCACCGCTGAACCTGCTACCACTTGGTACACCATTCAACAACCGGATATCATCTTTCCCTGCGCCTTCTGACGAAGTAGATGAGCGTAATGTCACACCGCCACCTAAACGTGCTGCCAACAAAACGCCTAGTACGCCCATGACAGCGTCCAAGGCGAACTTCTTCTCAAGGAACAACCATCATGATGAATACCACAAACACTTACGTAGCAGCAGTTCAGCATTCAACTTGCGTGCAGCAGACTCGTCGCTTGATACACACCCCAATATCGGTACGATACCCATTCCGACCCTGAATCCGACACGCCAAGCCACCACACCTTTCTCGTCGAATTCATTACCAAAGGGAAGCGGAGAGTTCGCTCGCTTGCAGCCACGACCCAGCGGCGAATACAAGTCATCCGCCAAGGATGTGGAGATGCAGAGCATGGTTGCTGGACCGCGGCCATTACAGAAGAAAAACACATCGGATTCGATCCAGACTTCTGAGTCGACAGAGCCAGAAACGCCTTCTTCTGGTTCATCCTTGCGCCGAAAGCTTAGCCTTAGCGGCTGGAGGAGAGCTTCGTCAAAAGCTGCGACACATCAGTCGCAGAATCCACAGGTCCGAAAACCGGGCACTAAGACGGACGAACAAAGACAGCAGCCTCAACCACCTAAGCACAGCGAGATGCCGCCACCTCGATTACCTGCGTCTGCTACTTGGAGCGGCGCTACTGGTACAACTCCTCCTCCCGCTAAGAGTGGAACCCGACCATCCCTCGACTTTGGACGTCGCAAGACTTCTACAGCAGCTGTCGCAAGTGACACCGAGGCTGAGAAGTCAGGTGCTCGTAAACCCGTGGGAGGCGGTGGAATACGTGCTGTGTCGGGGCACACAGACCAGGCTACCAGCCAGGTGACACAGAAGTCCACGTCCATTTTGACACCGATGCAGCGGATGTTGGGTACGAAGAGCTCGTCAAACATGCTCAAAGCTCGTAATCTCGACCCCAATCTAGATCGGGACGATCTATTAGCCGACGAGGAGATGAAGAAGCTTGCTTCGAAGCGGAAAGATTTTGAGCATGCGGCGAGGGATGTTGATGAGCTTCGCAAGCGCGCCACGGCCAAGGAGCGTGTCACTCCAAGTGATGCTGTACGTATGGCCAACCTGAACATATTCGAGAGGGGGGAGATTATCGACTACAAAGAAGTGTACTTCTGTGGAACGAAGAATGCCAAGAAGCACGTCGGCGACCTTAATGCGCAGACAGCGAACTTTGGCTACGACGACGAACGTGGCGATTACAACATTGTCCTTGGAGACCACCTTGCCTACAGATACGAAGTCGTTGATGTGCTCGGAAAGGGTAGTTTCGGACAGGTCGTGCGCTGCGTAGACCATAAGACGGGAGGACTCGAAGCGATCAAGATCATTCGTAACAAGAAGAGGTTCCATCAGCAAGCTCTGGTCGAAGTCAACATTCTCCAGAAGTTGCGTGAATGGGTAAGTAAATTTGAACCATTTAACAGGGACAACTTGCTGACAAACATCAGGATCCCGACAACAAGCACAGTATGATCAACTTCACCCAGAGCTTCTACTTCCGCGGCCATCTTTGCATCTCTACTGAGCTTCTCGGTATGAACCTGTACGAGTTCATCAAGGCACACGAATTCAAGGGCTTCTCTCTCCGTCTGATCCGCCGGTTCTGCAAACAGATGTTGGCTTCATTGACTCTTCTGAAGACCCAGAAGGTCATTCACTGCGATCTGAAGCCGGAGAATATTCTGCTTGCGCACCCGCTGCACTCGGAAATCAAGGTCATCGATTTTGGATCAAGTTGCTTCGAGACCGAGAAGGTTTACACGTATATCCAGTCGCGATTCTACCGTTCGCCCGAGGTCATCCTTGGTATGAGCTACGGATTGCCGATTGACATGTGGAGTCTGGGTTGTATTCTTGCCGAACTACTAACTGGCTACCCTATCTTTCCTGGAGAGAATGAACAAGAGCAGCTTGCTTGCATCATGGAGATATTTGGACCCCCGGAGAAGCATCTTATCGAGAAGAGTAGCAGGAAGAAATTGTTCTTTGATTCGCTCGGTAAGCCCAGAGTCACCGTCTCGTCAAAAGGTCGCAGGCGAAGGCCCAGCTCGAAGACACTACAGCAAGCTTTGAAGTGTGATGACGAGGCTTTCCTCGATTTCATCACGCGCTGTCTACGATGGGATCCCGAACGCCGAATGAAGCCCGATGAAGCCATGCAGCATGAGTTCATCACTGGCGTTCGCAAAACCAGTCAACAACGACGACCTTTCAACGGCCCCTCTGGCGTTTCTTCGCCTGCAAAGCGAATGCCGCCTCCACAATCGGCGCAGCCACGCGTCCGACCTCTTCCAGAGCCTCCAGTATCTAGTTTCAGTCGTGGGACCGCAGCCAGCGGTCAACGCCAGGTGTCGAGCGGCACCTCCCCTGTAAAGACTTCTGCTCCCGCGAGGCGTCATTCAACGGTGCAAGGACTTGCACCTGGAGCAGCGGGTACTAAGCGTGCCGCAAATGGAGCCCCACTCAATGCCACAAGTGGGAGTGGCCTGCCACGCGCAGCGCAGCGAAGTGTGTCAGGCAAGCCAGACCTCGCTTCGGCTGCGGCCATTGCCAGTCTCGTAAGTCGCAAACTTGACGCCTAGCTTGAGGCCGACAAGCTGCTAACAATGTTGTAGAAAACGCACACATAAATTTACGAAACCGGGAGATATTCTCAATATAGATTAACGATTACTTGGGCATCTCATGAGGTTTCTTACTATATAATAATGGGGTGTTAGCCTGCTGGCAGCTTGGGGTTAGGTTGTTAGGGACTTTTGTGCAGATATGGTTGCAGATGTTATGTTTTCCCATTCAGCGACGTTTATACCCCGAAAAAGTCTCTAGTTGGAGCATTATTTTCATCAGGTGTATTGGTGGGTTTCTTGGATAGTGGGGAGGACAGTGAAATCTTGATATGAACAGCATTCTAGGGCGTTGTAACAAGATAGACATGTTCTTCTAGAATTTGTAATGCGATGAATGGGGTTCCGCGATTTGAGATTTACGAGTCGCGTGTCCTTGGTGGAATGCATGTACTGCACTGAGTTGCTGACTCCTGGTGATGTCAGTGCGTTATCGATAAGCACTATCGCGAATTTGACTGTTGGTTGCGACTTCTGCACCACAGCCCTCACCACGCGACAATACTTGTTTGATACCCAGTCCTTCTTTCTTTGCTTTGATTGAAAATGCCTCGCGACCCGCTGATCGGCCTCGTGGGCAAGCCGTCGTCCGGCAAGTCGACAACTCTAAACAGGTGCGCAGTGCCCCGCCATCCCTCCTCCTCCTTGGTGAATCTTTCTGAGATGTGTTCCATGGCAGTTTGACAGATGCTACCTCCAAAGTCGGTCCGTACACGTATGAACATATTGGAAGCTGTATAGGCTGATGATAAGTAGGTAACTTTCCGTAAGTCGTCCCTCTCCAACCGGCTGCATGCGACGGCGCAGCGCATACCGCTTTACTATTCTACCGCCCCTATCGCAATCATCGTACCATCAGCTCCTAACCCGACGTGTCCAGATTCACGACTATCGATCCCCAGCGCGCCATTGGCTATCTCCAAATCGAATGCCCCTGCGCGCGCCTCAACCTTGCCGACCGCTGCAAGCCCAACTACGGTGGCTGCGTCCAAGGACGGCGATCCGTCCCTATAGAACTTCTTGATGTCGCCGGTCTTGTTCCAGGCGCACATATGGGAAAAGGTCTCGGGAACAGGTTCTTGGACGACTTGCGACACGCAGATGCGCTGGTACACGTAGTTGACGTAAGCGGAACAACCGACGCAGAGGGTAAGGCGACAAGAGGATACGATCCAAGTCAGGATATTGTTTGGCTGAGGAGTGAGATTGTGAGATGGATACAAGGCAACCTCATGGAGAAGTGGGGCAGCATCAAGAGGAGGCATGTCGCTATCAAGGCTACGGCGGTCGAGACATTACAGAACCAATTCTCGGGATACGGGTCAACGTCCAGTGTCGTCGCGCGCTGCCTCGATCGTCTTGCCCTCAAGGAACCACTACAAGATTGGTCTGACGAGACCATCGAACGAGTGGTAAACGCCTTCACCGACGAGAAATTTCCTACCGTCATCGCCCTTAACAAGATTGATCATCCCGACGCCGACAAGAACATAGCCAAGATTGCGAAAACCGCAGACCCGAAGAGCATAGTGCTGTGCAGTGCCATATCAGAAGTTTTCCTGAGGAAGCTGGCAAAACAAGGCTTTATCAAATACACAGAAGGCAGTGAGTTCGTCGACACGAGAGAAGACTTGATCGAGCAGGGCGACCCTGATGGAGGCGGACTGAAAGAGCTGGACGAGAAGCTCACGACACGTATTGAAAACCTGAAAGATATGGTTCTTTACCGATTCGGTAGTACAGGCGTCGTACAAGTCCTGTCTCGAGCAGCGGAACTCCTTGGTCTAGTGCCAGTCTTCCCAGTTCGGAATATACATACGTATACTAGCGGAAGTGCGAGCTCAACGGCTGTGTTCAGGGATTGTGTACTTGTTAAGAAGGGAAGCACGGTGGGTGATGTGTACAGGAAGGTCATGGGTGATGCACCCATGGCATATGTGGAAACCGAGGGCGGGAGAAGAGTTGCAGAGGACGATGTTGTTGCTGTAGGAAAGAATGATGTGAGTACATGTTGAAAGTGAAAGTGAATATCTGGCTAACAATGGTAAGATTTTGAGCTTCAAGGTTGGAAGAGCATAACAAAGCTTTGGTCTTAAGAACAAATCTTAGGCAATACTGAACTCGAATACCACAAACTTCAACGCAGCTTGCCAGAATCCATGACATCCTAGCCGAACAACGTGGGATTCGAAACTTCAGCAAACACTTTGGGGACTTACTATCGATCTTTCGATTGCATTGTTGAACGTATTCGTATCCTTGCAGAGCCATGAAAGCCAATAAATTCACTCCTCATCTTCCCGCTTTAACGCATACAACTCCTTTGGCCTTCCTCCACCATCACAACTAGAGAATTTCCACCACGTCCAGTGGACACTACCAGCTACATTGACCAGCCCCCACCTCACCGGCGCCGGCATAGGAGGCCAGTTTGCCCATCTGCCATCCTCAAATGTAGCATCCAGGTTCATTAGGAAGAATGGTACGACATCAAAGGTTCCTGCTTTAGTAACAGTCTTCTTACCCCATGCTTTGAACATAGTCGCGGCGAGCTCTGCTTCTGGGGTGTTTGGTGCTGGAGCGGAGGGGTGGTCTGCGAAAGCAGCTATTGTGCTGATCTCGTGGTGGAAGTGATGCATGAAGGCGGTTTGAAACGAGTCCATAATGCTTACAAGCTCTTTTCCGTTGAAATACTGCGGGGAAGAGAGGGAATTCAGGTAGGTCTTGTAGCTTGCTAGGCCGCTAAGAAAAGATTCTACGTCGGTCTTATGTTAGATGTTGACCCCATAGCAACTGAAAGAAGAAGAAGAAGAAGGTGTCATTACCGTGTTCTTCATGTGTCTCTTTCCAGATATCTTTGGATCTTAACATGTCTTCTACCTTGGGGAACAACTCCGCTTCCTCATCGTCGTGGTGGCTCTTGATGAAGCGATACCATGTTTGTGCGTACCCGACGAACGCTGTTTTATCTACTTCTCGAACATGAGGAGCTTGCAGATATATAGTGTTGTACCCTCGCAGTATGGCGTTGTGGATGTGTGCCATGTGCGTTGCTCCGATTGTAAAGATGTCGTCCTGAGTATTAAATTAGCATATTCCAGTAAGAATGCTACGCGCGAAATACCTTGTTCGTCGCAAACTGCGGCGTTGCGATTAGCTTACAAGGACCCTCGGCCCACGATATGTTAGCGGAACTAGTCATGGGCGAAGAGATAAAGAACTGAATGGATATGGCAAGGGTTAAGAGTAAGAAGAAAGTGATGGTGGTAACGCTGGGCATTGTGACAGCCACCAGTATCTTACTATCCAGTGCGATTCCATCGTTCTAATGTACTTATTAGATTGCATGTTCAAAGATTAAAAAAAAGTGGTGTGTTCTCGGACATCGTGCGTGGTGGTGTGAGAGTAAGGCGACTCGTCCTTTCTCCGATTGGTTTAGCGGGTCGGTGAGAACAGCAGATTTGCAGAACGTCGTTGTCTTTCAATTACAACCTGACATATTGAAACCCTGTGACACATGAGCAGCATCAAGAAACTGTTGTTTCATGCCCATCTAACTAGTCCATCGATGAGTACCTGCAATGCGATGCTGTCCCCACACAATCCCGCCACGATGCTGACGTTGATACCTAGCATGCTATCTCCAACTAAGAACATATCATTCCTTACGTCAGTCCCTCTTAGTGGGTCGTACACCTCGTCTGGTATTCTTCTCTTCACGGCTTGGGGCCAGGTACCACCGGTCTGACCATCCTGTGGTGGGGTAAAGTTGGGAATCGCTTTACACCAGTAGTGACACGTCGATCGGTTGAAGCCAAATGCTACTGGAAAGCTCAAGGAGTGCGCATATGCTGCTGATTGGACGCGCAGCATTACAGCGCCCCAGAATTCTGTGACATGATCTGGTATACGTAGCTCGTGGGTGGTTTCATCCCAGGCATTTCGAGGTGTAACGCTGATCATACGAACATTAGGTGTGGCCTGGTTAGAAACTCGACGACGAATATGGAAGCTCTTGAACTCAGTGGTCGTGAATTCAGGTGGTATAGAAGGTTTCTGTCGTACATAGATGGTATGAAGTTTTCCAGTAGGCCAGTCATCGATGGGAACTAGAGCACCAGCATCGACGCGTGCGTATTGCATCCCTCCATCTAAGCACTTTAGTGTGATAGCTAGGCGCTGGTTCAGCTGGTTGCTTGAGCGAATCATGGCTAGCACACGGCTCTTGTCTTGATCAGGTAAAAATTCGAACTGCACACGTAACCCGATTGGCGTGAACCCAATGGGGAATGTAGAGACGACATTCTCGTGCTCTACAGAACGGCAGTGCTGGAATTCCTCAGGATGGCGCGCAAGTAATCCTCGGTACGTTGAATGCTCGGATGTAGTTGCGCACCAGGCAAATAAAGAGTAGTCGTCAGTAGTCCTTAGTATCTCTTCTTGTAAGCGAATGAAAGCCTTACTACCCTCTCCATAAAGCAATGGCATATGAATGTCGAAGATGCCCAACAAACACTAGATATTCGTATACAAAATCAGTGCGTGTCTAACTTGCATTTTGCATAGAAACACTCACATATGCTACATCCTCTATACGTGTGCTTTGCCGATGTGCCGCCCATGACATTCTCTCCGCGATTGAGACTTCGCTAAGTAAATTTCTGTCATCAAGTACACGAACTGGAATACCTGTGGCGTCGGATAACTCTTCCAAAAATTCAACTTTTTCGCCCATCAAGGTCCAATCCTGGAAGTAGAAGCGACATACAATTGGTGCGATCAGCTCCTGTAAAGTCCAACCACGACGTGCCCATCGGCAACTTTTGAGAGATGCTCTTGCGATTTCGGAGGCAGTTGTATAATTACCTGAGCGTGGTTTGGGGATGTCACCCAGATAGACGATGCAAACTTCGGCGTCTCTGTACCATCGATACATGGAGTTGATGGCTTCTTGGAGCTCTGCACTTGATGTCTTGTCAATACAGCACCTAATATCAACGTATAAAGTCAGCCTATGTTTCACATGCTGTTGATGTGAGGAAATCAACGTACGTATCCACCCAGAGATAGTTACAGCCCAAGCCCTGTGCTTGCTCAGCTGCGTTCAATATCTTGCTGTAGCCGACCCGCTTCAGGAGATCCTCTTCTGATAAGCCTCCGGGTCCTGAGCTGCCTCGAATCATCAACTCCAGAGCTAGCATGAGTGTGTTATGAGCATCTTGAGTAGATGCTAGGTTAGGAGAAGCGGAAATTGCTCGAGCTTTACTAATCCAAACGAATTCTTGGTAGTTGACCTCATCCGAGCCCCAGGTATGGGAAAGGATGGCGTACTTGGGAATAGCATCGTCGTTGAACCACTGGAGTTCGAGTGTTCTAACATTGATGAGTCGCATAGCAGACGCGTCGCGACGTGTCGGCGTGCGTAGTCATTGGTATAGGATCAACAAGCGGGGTGCCTAAAACTGAGCCAATGACGCCGATCTATTCGTGTCAGCAGGCTAAGCTTTGCGCTAAACCCAGTCAAGGCTCACATACGAAGATGTTCGTATCCCATGTTCCCACCATATCCAAGGGAGAAGCTGAATATCCCTTGAGAACCTCTTCCTTTAGCCTACTCCAGCACGCTATATGTTGTGTGCTGTAGAAGAGCTCGCTAAAGGAGGTTTAGTTTCTTTCGTAATGAAAGGTGCTCCAAGAGGTTTCCCCAATTGGTGAAGACAATATAAATTTATATGTCATCGTCGGCTTAAATGTCCACGGCATTCAGAATCAATGATGCTACAGCAAGAGAATACATGGCATTTCATCCTAATTGCGAGGAGAAGACGTGGTGCGGGGAGGCAAATGCGGGCATGTTCTGCCTCGGAGACCGAAATCAAGTTCCTTGCCGTCCCGCGCGTCGGGATGGCGTTGCATATATTGCATATCTGTCGAACCACTAGCGACTGATATGCCAGATAGAACTGAGTGCAGAATTGAGGTCATCACATTTACAGGCAATATTCAGCGAAGTGGTTGTAGCAGAGTGTAGTATTTGCTAATGAAATAACTTAGAGGTGGGGGAGATACGACTATGTGTACATATGGGTAATGAAAAATTCAATGAATGTGGACTCTGAACCATCTCGAACCATATCCCTGAAATTACAAATGGTGAAAAGCGTACGCCTCCGGGGTGCGTCACTGATACGTGTCGCATGATGATCATCCGCCTCTTAGTGTTCGCCGTATCTATTCGCTCACCACACTCATTCCTGGTTTCCCATGCGCATGCAAACTGCGTCATGAAAGTACGCTCGCCGAGGTACTGGAGATGGGCGGGTGTAGGCCAAGGGTGCAGTCACTGGCGGCTAGACTTGGTCGGTGGCGTCTTCACGCGAGAAGCCGAATTTACGGTCGACTCGGATGCAGTTTTCGTCGATGCTTTTGTTGTGAATATGCGAGGTTGGGGTGGTGATAAGACTCTCGTGATCCTTACTCTTCATGTCCGACCATGAGCTCATCTGACGGCTCTTTTCGCAAACAGTTGAGCTTTCACTGAGGGTTGAGGGTGCAGATTTGTCGTGGAAGTCGCTCCTGATCAGCCGTTGGTGAGAATCAGGTCCTCTCGTGGCAAGATTTTGGTCGTTGACGACGCCAGCCCAGATGGCGGAGAATGGAAGGAAGATGCATATCATCGTGAGAACATGGGCGACGATCTCAGGGAGAATGTTTGCGAACTGAAGAGACGCAAAGATGGCTACAAGTGTGTCAGATATGTTTCAAGACTCAAGCTCGCATGGGCAAATGTACCTGGTACGAACATGGTCTGGCAGCCCATGATGAAAACAATCTGCATTGGTCCAAACTGTGGCATATTGAGACGACGCCTCTGAATGATAGCGTGGCCTAGTTTGTACGTAAAAACGCAGCTGAATATCCAGATGGACACAGCTTGTAGGATGTAAGAGACCGCAACTAAGACCAAGATGGAGTCGGTATCCAAAGCATTCAGAGTCAATTTGGTGCTCAGATAGACGGCAGCAAGTCTGAATACAAGCGCAATGCAGGCCATGACAGTGGTTGTACCCATGATGATG